CTGTATTTTCCGTTCCGAACATCTAGACGACTTTCATTCCGAACACCCGGTCTTTTTCATTCCGACCTTCCGGCGTTTTCATTCCGAACATCCGGAAACTGAAGTTCGGAATGGACTTCTCTGACCGATGTCCGTAAAAAAATGAGGACGAAAAGGGACCACCCCCGACAACATCAAGGGCTCCCAAAGAATTCCAAAAATCAACTGCCTGATCATTTAAAACAAACAGACCGTGGAGAGAACTTCGTACGTCACGAAGATGAAAAATTGATCATTTTTACCATTGCGGCGAATCTTTCAGTATTGAAAACGTGTAAACATTGGTTTGTCAATGGAACATTTAAAGTAAAATAAAAACAAAGACTTTCAGCTTACTCAGTAAACGTCTATTTTAGGTGTGTCCAGAAGGTTTCCAGCAAGTGTTTACGTTACATAGATTGTTCAAATCACAAATTATTCCGTTGGTTTATGGCTTACTCGTAGAAAGAAAAACAACGCACTACGATCATTTTTTCAACGGATCGTGGACGTAGATGATTTCAATCCAGAAAACAATACTGAGCGATTTCGAAGCGGCGACAAGAAAATCGATCAATTCATTGTTTCCAAACATTCTTCACAAAGGTGGTGTGAATAATTGCTTCACAATAATCATCTAAGTATGTATTAATTGATTTTTTTAGACTGTTTGTTTCATTTTGGTCAGTGTACTTGGCGTCAAATTCAAAGTCTTGAATTACAAATGAAATACCAAGAGGGTGAGCCGTTCCATTTGAACATTAAAAAATAATTGCTTTAGCTTTTGTTCCTGTTTTAGATGTCATCAAAGCGTTTAATGTGATTACCGACGATTTTCGCGGTTATTTTGAAAAAAGCATGGATAGGAGAGCCAAAGAGAGGCACATTGATTGATTAATAATTATTTAATATTCAACTTCGATTTTAGGTAGTGGCCGAAAAAAACCTCTATTTCCAATAGAAATATGGAATGTTTATGATCGAACAGTTGTCAATCTTCCACGCTCAAATAATTCAATTAAAGGATGGCACAATGCATTCACGAAACGTGTGGCAATAGTACATTCAACTATTACAAAATTAACCGAGAAGATTCGTCGTGAACAATCCAAATTCGAAGTCGACATCGCACAAATTCGCCAAGGACAAGAACCAAAGCCGAAGAAACTCAAATATCGAAAACTTGACGAAAGAATCAAACGACTGGTCGATGATTATGGAAATGTTGATCTTGGTGCATATTTGAAAAGACTAGCTGTAAATATTTTTTGTATTTGTTTTCTTGTAATTGTGTATTTTTTTGTGTCAAGTTTGTTTTTTCAATAAAATTTCTCCCTCAATTAAATATCTCTATTTTATGTTCCAATTTAAATTGTTATAATGTGTCAATTATTCTACATTTTCATTAGTCTCCCTTAATTAAATTAGAATCAGCATGTATGCGACGAATTGCCCGTGCAACATATTTTTCTTGCGACGAATTGTCTGCAACGAATTGCCTTGCGACGTATTGTCCAGTTACCAATCGAAGACGACGATCCATTTTCCTCTGTTCAACTTCAGTTCCAGTGATGCCTGTCTGTATACTGTGAGCAAAGCGGCCATCTTGAATGTTGTGTATCGGTTGCAAATAGGGGTGGACCGTTGATGTTAATTTGAGTTAATTAAGGGAGTTAATTAAGTAGTTTTACTTAACACTTAATATTAAATTAACGTAAAGTGTCACACCTAGTTGCAAACGAGATCGTGGTTTGCGTATATTGGAGATGATCATCAAACCAAAAGGAAATCATCACGATCAATGAAAAAAGAATAGTAATCAAAGCAAGAGGTAGATCGGAGAAAATGCTGCATCAAACTGTTCTTGTGTACCATTTAAATGGAGAATCTATGAGACTCGATTCAATACAATACATGTGTTGAGTTTTTGCTAAAGTGATAATGATTATAATTGTAGTTATACCTCGTTGAGCATTTTTCATTGCGCTTTTTTGTCGTAGACTAAATTGAGTGTTTGATGGAAGCCATCGATCAATCGCTGCCAACATAATAAGCCATGAGCCAATCGTAATCGAGTCAAATAGAAAAATAGCTCAAAGTTTGCAAAGCAACTGATTATCACTTGTAAGATTAGCAGATCAAGTTGACAATGGTCGAGAAGTAAGACCAAGATACAAGTCCAACACCATTAGCAATTGATGAAGCCAGAAAGAGACATGAACACGGATTAGATCGAAGTGATCGTTGCAATAAAACACAAATATTCATAATGTTACCTGCCATGCCAAATAGAAGAATAAATAGTCCAAAGTAACGATTGAGTTGTATCGAAACGTTGTTCAAAGCGGCGACAAGACTTTCATCCGATGGTGACAACATTTCTGATCTGAATACTACTTGACTATGTGAATTGAGTGAACGAAAACACATAAAATCAAAGATGAGATAAAATTATTTTTGTTTGTCATATGTTTTCCGACGATGCCAGGCTCTGATAAGCTAGTATATTACGAACTTTTATCGTCATAAGAAATAGAGTCTAATTAGAAATGCAGAAATCTATATTAGAATTCTATATATAATAATGAATATAGAAAAGATAAGTGAACATTAAATATTACCACAGTGAAATCTCACTTTCTTAATTTCGCCGACAGCAATTGAAGATAGCCAAATTTGATGGTATATAATCAACCAGGCCATTAATAGTGAAGACGTCATCTGTACAGAGATTGATTATTGCTTGAAGTCATTGTCTGTGTATTAGTATTTTTTTTTATATAATTAACATATTATCTATTTTAATTATGATGGAGTCATGATGAAAGATAATTCTGATGTCATTTTCATCACTGCGTATCAGATATCTCTCCTTTTCATTATTCGTTATCTGGATGGAGAGTAATTTTGCTAGTAAATATTTTTATTCATTTGAATAGTTTCACTTGAAAGGAACGTATTTTGTGATTGCTGTTTAAAGATAAATTTAAAAACATTGATGTTATAATTATTCGTTGTAAATATTGCGCTGTTATGATCAATCGAATTCGAACAAGAATAATTCTGACATCAATTTGAATTAATTAAGTAGATTAATACATTTAAAGGTATTTATTAGCTCTGGCAACATTGTGTTTTGTCAGTTTTTATGGCAATGTAAAACGTATGAGATAGATGAATTATGAAAGACTTTGAAGTATAAATAATAACAGAGAATGGTAAAAATAACAACACCTACGTTTCTCACTTCTTTTTAGATTAAAATTTCGTTGAGAAGAAAGACGAGTATAATAACAAAAAAGAAAAAAGTTAATTATCGCACATATTAAAAATGTAAACGTATTCGTTTTAAAATCTCTCTTGATATCGAATAGTGTCTGACTTCGAAAGACCAAAAAAATGACAATCTATAATTCTACGAAAAATCATTTTGAAATCTTTCTAAATATTCTTGCACTGTGTGAGAATTATATGATTTAAAAAATAATAACTTTTGGACAATCGATTAATTTCCGAATTAGTCAAATTAAAATACATCAACTGAACATAATAAAGAAAATAAAAACAAAAGTTTTATTAATTATGTCTTAATAGATTCCACTTTGGCAGTATGACACTTTCAATAATCATGATAATTAGCTAGTGATTAGCTCGATGATGGATATCTTGGACAAACACATGCACATTGATTTTGAAAGCTATTGACTAAATCACACGAGACACATATATGAGCAGATACCGTCGGTTCTCTTCCGGTTGCAATCGATGAACATCCGGCATTAACTAGAGGTCCTTCAAGTACTGTTTCTATAAAAAACAAAATATATAATAAATTTCTTTTTTTTTCTATTTGAAAGAATTAGCTGTTAACATACGTCCATCGATACGTGTTCGACTGCGAATAAATCCAGTTGTTTCATCTCGTACATAAAACAGCTGTTGATTATCGAGAAAATCTTGATTGACTCTTACCATTGCTTGAGTTGCACATCCTTCGGAACAATCTTTTACAGAACCAAATGTTGCAGGTATAATATTGCATACACCATTACTTAGAAGACCGATATAACCATCTTTTTCCAAAAAGCTTCCATTAAGACGTTGTTCGTTCAATTGATTTTCTTCATCAATTCGAATTTGATCAGCTGCTATCGTACGAGATTGAATGATTCTTCTTAAATTTTCACGTACACTTCGATCGATCTGAATCAAATCTGACCAAGGAACATATTCTTCGATTTTCAACAAAGCAGGATTAGCAGCCAATGTTTGTAGCCAACGTGTTTCATTTTTTTCAGTTGGATCACCGCCAACTATATGATCAACATTAATCTTTCGACGATCAGCATAAAAACTATTTCCAAGTGTTTGCGAGAGAATATCTCTTCTGAGATATTCATTTAAATTATCTGATGTAATGGCACCATTGAATGAAAATACACAATCTTTAAAAAGAACTTGTTGCTCCCGCATTCCTCCTAGAAAATTTTAATTGAATTTCTTATAAGTATCTAAGTGTTGAATAGGTCAAATCTGAACGCTTACCAACAAGAGCTTGCTGTACTATATGTGTACCCCAATTTTGTAAGAAATCATCATATAAAGTTTCATTATATATAGCTGGTAGTTTCTCGATGGCCTCTCGGGCATATTGATTTAATCGGAGATTTTCAACACGTAATCGATATAAAACTGTTGGTTTCTGTGTAATAGCTGTTGCTTGATTCTTTGAAAAAAATCGACTGTAAATATCAAGTAATGATTTCGAATGACCAAATTCGCCACCTAGCCAACTTCCTCGCAATCTTTCATATTTCCATTCATTTGATAATTCAGCTGCCGAGAGAAAGACACGAGAAACAGGTCGATTTTCGTCTTGACTAATTCTCGGAAATGTGATTCCACGAGGAGCTTGATACATTCTATTCGTGTTAGGATCAATCCAATAATTGTTTCCAAAAAAGTTATTTTCCAATGCAGGAAGAAGTAGTCTACCTGTAGTTATATCAAGTGTCATACCAACACCAATAGGTAGCTAAAGAAAAGATGTGTTTTTTTATAGTTTTGAATAATTGATAGGTTTTAAAAAGAAAAATATTTACTCGGGTAGCATTGGCTGCTATTAAAGATCGCCCTCTGATTTGTGATCCAAGACATTCTTGTCCTTTATATCCAATGTAGGGACAGAATTGTTTCTTTGCTTCTTCTTCCGGAGTTGTTTCTGAAGATCGTTTTGTACGAATTTCATTACGACTACATTTTTTCTGCGGTGGATCTCGCATACTTTTTAATTGACTTACATAACGAAGTTCTTCTTTTTCAGCTGTAGTTAAAATATAATTAATTGCTGCTTTAACTGCGTTACGTAGATCACCTGGCGGTAGGGATTCGTCTAATGCGAGAAGACGATAAGAAATAGCTCGAGGTTTTGTTTTAATTGTTGGTGCCCACTTTTCCCATTCCGATGGATCAATAGATTCAGTACCACCTAATAGTTCAGATGTAAAAATAGAATGTTGTTTGAAACGTTCGTCAACTGTTTTTGTGTAATCATTTATGTTTTTGACACCTACTCTAAATCCAAACCAATTTCTTGATACTTGTTCATCAATCCATCTTTGTGAATGTTCATAAGTTAAACATTTCTCATACCAGGTTTCTGCCCAAACTTGACCTCCCATGTTCGATGATACAACAACATGCGTTCCGAAGGTTTCAAAAAATTCTTTCCAAATTTTTATATCGTTTGCATCGAAATATACTGGCAAACTATCCAATGCTTGTTGAAATATAGGATTTAATTTTGGATAGGGAAATGCTGACACCGATAATGTATACCAGCCAATTTGTTTCATTCGAAGTACCAAATTATAGTAATCTTGATAAAAACGACGATAAAACTCCGTTACTGTTGTTCGACTAGTTCGTCGGCCAATGCCAAACCAGCCACCTGATCTTCTAACAGTAACAGTAGTTTTCGAACGAAAATAATCTTCCACAGATGTTACTGTCATTTCGCCATCAAGTGCCAATGATTCAGGAGTATTGACAACAAACCAGCCATTAGGGACGGAATATGTCAAATTTTTATTGTATGGATCTGACCAACGTTCATTCTCAGTGAAGTTACTTTGATCGAAAATGCAAAATTTACTTTCCATCTTTAGAATATCATATCCACAACCAACAACATCAAGTCCATGTATGGGACCAATAGGTTTATATTCAATTGAAATGCGACGGCCTGTACTTCGTCCACTCAATTGCGCAAATGTTGGCATTACTCCGTCTCTCAAATAGAATTGAATTGTTTTACGCAAATGTTCTTGAACTCTTGGTTTGCTTCTGATTAAACTATCAATAGAAAATAGTGTTCGATTAACTACAACTGGATTATCACTAGCTTTTCGTTGCCACACTCTAGAAAACAATATATTATTATAGGCAATAACGGATGCTTTTATACGAAACTTACTCCCAGTCGGATCTACTGTCGTCATTTGGTATTGGAGGTTGAAAAATTGTTAACGATTCTGTATTTTTCTTAAATGTTTCGCTCATTTTTTGCAGAACTGATGTTTGGGTTTCTCCGACACTTAAACTACCCGACTTATATTGAAACATTAAACTAACTTGACTCGATACTTCTCGATATGAGGATTTATTATGAAAACTTGAGTCAATTAATGAATATAAATACGCTGTACCACCAACAATAACACGCGAAACATAATGTGTTCCAAATGTTTGAACAAATTGATTGTAAAATGTTTGATGATCTTCATTCGATGGATTTGGTGCTTCAGTAGCAAGTAACTCAACACTTCCAGTGAACATTGGATCTAATCTAATCGTAACAAAAAGAAAGCAACGTACTTTAAATTTCACTGTCTCATATAAAAGTAACATTCACTTCATAAGAAAAGGAGGCGCAATTTGAATGGAATAAAAACCCCACCATGTCGATGATATTCCTACAGCTTTATCATTTCTTTTCATGGATTGTTCGATTTCCTTCAAGGTTTTACTATATCCTATTGCAACATTAGCTACACCAGGTAAACCAATTCCAATGCCAAATGAAGTCGATCGACAATAACTGAATAAAAACAAAAGCATGATAATCTATTCTTCAGAATATCATCTGATGAAATAGCTGACCTTCGAAAAAATGTCTCAAATGTATAAGCAACTGTTTCACAAGTAGATTGTCTTCGCAGACTGATGTCAGTGATTTGAACGTGTCGAGGTTTCGTAAATACTCGCTCTTTCCCAAATATTTTGATTTTATATGGAGTCGCACTTACTTCACTGAAATCAAAAATACGATACTTGGAATTTTGTTCACTAGCAGAAATCATCTTAGCTGCATCATAACCAGATGCTATGTCATCAAGACCAGGTATGTCATCTTGACAGTAACCACCGGTAGCGAGTAATAACTGTAGTATAATACTGAGAATAAACATCTAAAAACAAACAAAACATAATGATTTTGTATTCAAAAAAACTTTGCTATAAATATTTAATGAAGTTAAATAGTATAGACATATGTTTCGAATTTAAAAGTAAGATTTAGATACAATGTTTCAGTAAGAGAAACATTCATTGCCGGATAAACTTATGCCACACGTACGTGTATACCAAGGAAATGAAACTCGAGTTCGACAGAAATTACGTTTTCGTGAAACAGCTAATTGAAAATTTTGTAAAACTATGCAGTTGGTTTTTTTTCTTAAACTAGTTTCCATACCCATGATCACGGTTTCGTTAACATATTGACCGATGAATGTGTGTATTGCCTCACTAGTTTCATATACCCATTGTACATTGTAGCTTGTTTGAATAATTTCCATCATGATATTATTCCATTGATTTCTTCCTGTTAAATCATAGTATGGAATCCAAGTGCCTGGTTTCATTTCACATTTACCAGCTACATTAGAATAAAAAGTATCTGGAGGACAACTTTCTTGATAATCGCATCCTCCTGAACAACGATAATATGCTGCTTTATTCCATTCATGTGGATATGTTCCGTGAGGTGTTGGACACAAATAAGCCAAGCTCGAAGTAATTGTGCAAATCAAAAACGATATTGTTATGTGTATCTTCATTGTTATCTAGATAAAAAAAAATCAGATTGATCTAACTATTTTTCTTAATAAAAATGAATTTAAATCTTACATTGCTTGATTTGATATTGAAAAAATGAAGATGTAAAACGGTTCAAAGTGAAATATATCTACAACGGTGAAAGATGAGATAGATTTAAGAAAATCAATAATTATTTGAAAACAAAAAAAAGGAAACTTTCGATCATTTTTTCTCTAATTTTTGCTATAACACATATCAATAAGTTATACAACCAGAAAAAGTATAATGAGGTGGTAATTTACATTTCATTGAATATGGATTCGGTATATTTGTTGCACAAAATGATCTAGGGCCTCTTACTAACAGTCGAACATTTCTTACAAGAACACATTTTGTTCTTAGTGATAGAATTGTTTCAGTTCCCATAACATGTGTTTCATTGATATACCGACCGATGAAATCGAATTGATGATTTAGTGTTTCACTGGTCCAATAAACATCGTATCCCGATTGTTGGAAATGTCTATATTGAACTAAAGGCATTATTAATTCAGTTCCAGTTAAATCATATCCTGGCAGCCAATTGAATTCACCCCTTTTACATGTTCGTTGAATAGCCGAATAATATTCGTTTGTTTGTAAACAATATGTAACACGATCACAATAATACGTGCACACATGATACGATCGATAATCATCATCGTTTTGAAAGGTACCATTTGATTGGGCGCAACTGTACGAGCCTTCTATAACGGCTATGCTTGCAACGAGTAGAATCAGAGTTTTAATCATATTTTTGTTTTGTAGTTGATGCATTATTTCACTCGATTTATATAGTAGTATAAAATATTTTATATTTTGTTTCTCTGATTTTTCTCTTCTTAGAAAAATAATAAAAATATTGGTCAAGACACTATGCAGGTTACAAAATGTGCTAAAATTTGATGCAAATTGTTTTTCCCTCATCATTATACAATAATTATTGTCATTTATCTTTCTGGGAAAATAGTTTTTTCGTGTACAAACGGAAGTAAGATCAAAATATTCAAATCGACAGACGAAGCAAATAGCTGTATTAAGTATGTTGGATCATGGGGACTCATTTATCTTCCAGGTTCGTTTTCCGTTATTCTGATTTGGATTAATCAACTATGAATGTATATGTTATTACAAAATATTCTTCAAAAATATATTCATATAATTAATTATGCATCCAATAACCGATAAATATGATAATTATTGTTGGATATTTTCTATAACATAGATTTGTTTTACCCTTCGATATAGTTTGAAGAACATATTACAAACAGTTGAAATATTTCCATCTATTATCGTTAGAATAGTTAGTTTTAAAAACAAAATAAATATTACTAAAAGCAGAAAGTTTGACTGTGTTGAAAACTCTGATATAGATGCATTCAATTGTTAGCCGGAAGGTTTTTTTTGGTAGCAGGGTATTTCTAGATTCCTTTTGCTAATAAATCAAAAAGACTTGAAGAATGATTGACGTTAACGTTTTTTCTGAAAACTGCGATTTCGATATTGTCGTGACGACAATTAATATCTAATCGCGATTAATATTTCCGATGTAAATACAGTACAGTTGCGTTATTATATTGTCAAATCATAATCCCATGCTGTATACATATGTACGACGAAGGTTTGCAATTAAAATACTGTAAGATGCAAACCACCGTATCTAGTCCTCGCGTTACTTCAAATCCCTGGAAAAGAAAATTTTTTATTGCAGATTTTTTTGTTAAAGCACTTTTAAAATATGCGACTGATGCACATTACAGTATATTTAGTTTGGATCATTAAACAGGCATTTTGTATTCAAAAGAAAACACAATCGATGATGAAAATTATTTTATTAAGAAAAAATATGGGCTTTTACATTATAGGCGAAGCAACTCTCGACAGAACTTATGATGGTCTGTATACATAATAGCTGGAAAGTAAATATGTTAATTTAATAATATCAGCATAATCTATGGCGATGATGTCAAAACAGCAGGTTACATTTGAATTCAAACGACTGATGATTTAAAAAATATGCTATACTTTCTTATTGATTGAAAAGCCCAGCGATTTATTACTGCAACCAATAATTAAGTCATATGAAATAGAGTAATGGTCTCTAACTATCACAGAGAAAAATCAGTTAACTTGCACAATATTTCTCTCAATAATAATTGAACGCATAAATATACACTGTAGATATTTATTGTATAATAAAATCTTGATTACAAAACAAGAGACAAGAGAAAAATGTTTATTCATTTATCTTTCCACAGTCTCATTCACTATTTTACAAATATCTTAGATAACATCGGAATACTCGTAACCGGGTGGATATATATGATAGCTTGATGAAGGTATTGGAATCGGGGGCCCAATCTGAAAGCTGTAATGATAATTATATGGATATGGTGGAGCCGAAGTAGAAGACCAGTTACGTGCAGAATTTAAACCGTAGATATTTGAAGACTGTGTTTGAGGAATACCACCAGGAGCTAAAAAATACCAATGATATAAACTAATATAATCGAAAAATAATTATTAATTACGTAAAGGATAGCCACCGGGAACGCGTCCCAAAAGATTCTCACCAGCCGAATAACCATATGCGTCTCCGTAAAAGCTCATATTTTTCAATATAGTGTAGTTTCGAATTGTAATGTCTATATGTTAATCGTTTTTATCAGGCTTTTTATATGTTGAATAGATCCGTCATGAATTGATCTTGCGTGACTATCGATGATACTAGGACAAAAAGAAAATAGAAAATAAATGATTTTGTATATAAAACGAAAATAGCACATATTGGCTCAAGGTTATTAGATATTTTTGATAGAATAATGGATAATATAACTACGTATAATGTAAAGGTATAAATCGAGAAGGATCGAAAGAGAATATACAGTCCAAATGGGTGGGGCAGGGTTAATAAGGATACAGTTCGAGTTTCTTTTTGTGTTGTTGAATTTTTTTCAATATACGTCTTTATTAGTTGAAAGAATATCTAACGTAAAATAAAAATTTGTTTTGCTGACCATTGCTTATTAGATACCGCGATTTATGGCCGAAATTATTCGTTGTTTGAAGCTATTCCCGTTCGAATGGTAGAAACCGTTATTAGTTGGTTTTTTTTCTAGAATTTATGATCATAGAGTCTCGCTTTGATATCAACTTAACATCAGTAAGTCCTTTGTTTTCAAGACATGATGTAAAATAAGCTGTGTTCTATATTGGCAATATCTCTGAAAAAATAAGTTCTTTTTTAACTGATCGAATTGAAAATCATTTCATAATATATCTTTTATATTTTTTATGCATATTAACAAGTGTATAGTTTTCTTGTCAAATCGATCATACCACTATGATTTCCCACTGCAAAGATGATAGTGTTAAACTGTATCGCTAATATTTTAAACATAGTAAAATTTAAAAAACTACAAAAATGCAATGACAACACTAACATTCAAATTTCATCATCTGCAATGTCGCGAGTATTTTATAGAAATATTTTGTGTCGTAGAAAATAAACTGATTAGAAGAAAATCAATTGTAATCTATCTTCAGATATTTTTAATTATTTTATTTTTTTATCAAGCATTATCTTTCTACAATGCAGCGAAAACAAGAACGCACAACAAAAACAAAGAATCAATTTGTTTTTAGTTATTACTTTGAGATTGTTGTCGAATCAATCTTCGTTTAATATCTTCTAATTCATTTTGCAAGCTTAACGCTATTTTTCTTATTTCATTATTTGTTCGTATTCCTGATTCTTCAACAGCATCTCGTATATCGTCTGTTTTTCTTATTAAACGTGTATTTTCGTCTTCATTAAATAGACTATCATTACGTGTTACATCTTGATGATAATAATAGCCTGTTTCTGTTTGTATCTGTTCAAATATTCCCATAGGAGTAGGTGATGTTGATACTATCGACTGTGTATGCATAGCAGCACCACGGCGCTTTTGTGGTGATATTGGAGCAAAAAGTGTCGAATTAACACTATTCGGAACATTGATGACAATTGAACGTATTTCAAGTTTACGTAAATCATGTTTTATTGGAAAAATATTTGATTTTTCCCAAATGTTCATATATCGAGCATTTCTACACAAACGACTCATTATATTACCAAAAGTTTCACAAAGTCCACCTAAATGTGCTTGAAAACCTAAAACAAGACCAATACGTGCTCGTAAATGTTCTCTTTTAGCATTTAAACGATAGCTTTTGACTTCTGCCACAGCCAAACCACCCTAAAAAAAACGAAAAGAGAGAATTTTGCTGATATATAAAAAGAAAAACAAGAATTTTTTTCTACCATAATATTCATCATAACGATAAACATCGTAAATACGTATGCACTATAAAGTATGAGTGCCGCTTCTGCACCAGGCATTAATATATTATTTGGAAAAAATGTTGAATCCACATCATATTCTCCAATGAACATAACTAATAATTTTGCTACAAAATTAAAAAAATGAAATTGTGCCATTATATCTTTACAAATCATATAGAAAGCTAAGATATAACCAATCCAAACAGCAATATAAACGGCAATAAATTTAAGAAATGTTCCATATACTGTTATGAATAAAAGGCCATGTTTACCAAATTTAATACCATTCATAACAGCGAATAACATAGATGTCCAAACAGACAATAGACCAATACCGCCAGTCATCCATTGAGCTGAACAACGAATTCCTGTTAGCCGTGTACATTCATTGACGTCTACTGAATATATTACGGCGCTAACCTATGTAAAAGAGCAGTTAAAAATGTTTGTTTGTTTTTGAAGCTAAGCCTCGAAAAATTGATCTAATTAACACTTACATACATATGTAATTCAATAAGATTAATATAAAAGTGCCGGAAATATTTGTCTTTTTGTGTCAGTAATTGAAAAATTTCTTTTAATAAAGCGAAACATGATATAATCAATAGAATTAACCGTAAAGCACGTATTGTCCGATGGTCCGTAGCTGGATTCGTAACATCGTTTGCTAACGTTACGCATAAATCAAAACATGAATAATTGGCCATTAGATAATAATTTGTACCTTGATTGACTGGCGTTGGTGAACCTAATGTAATACCTGTATAAAGAGCAACATAAGCCGATTGACAGCAAAGTATAATAAAATAAAGAAAATTTCCAAATAAATTAAATTTTAAATCAACACATAAACGAACTAAATGATGATCATAAACATCTTTATAATCAGCCTTTGCAATTAAACCTACAGAAAAAAAATCAATAGACATTTGGTGTAAAATTAAAATTTTTCATATTTACTTAATGGATGTTGTTGAAGCCAATTATCTATTGAGAAGTTTTTTGTTCGTCCAAATAGACATCTTGCTTTTGTCGGTCGAGTATATAAACAATCATCCACAATCGACAGATCAATTCCATTGTCGCTAACAAATTGTTCTAATATCAGCGGTACTAATGGAACACATTCAGGCGTGGTTAACATTCGTTGAATGGGTGTTTGATAAAAAGGTAATGAATTCGTTTGAACAAACGGTTCATTGTAATGTCTCAAAAATTGTTTATATTGGTAACGAAAATCATACTGTTCAGCAGGTATGCGTACACTGATAAATAAGCGCACAATATCTTTCTTTTTCGATAATATGGCATATTCTAACTGTAAATAGAATAGATTTAATTGTAAAATGTGAGTTTAACGTTTTTCGTCGGTTACAAAATCGATAGATTTACTAGAAAAAAATCCTCAACTGTCGAATCGGTTTCGATTCTGAACTTTTCCCGTCACATAGACTCGAGTGAGGTTTTGAAAAAGTGAAATGAGTGAACTTACATAGAACATTTATTTAGAATCGTAGGTATTTTATTGAAATTTTAGCCTATAATATTTCATCCGTAGACTAACAAATCGAATAAGGGTATTCCTACCTGAGATTTTCCCAACAGATAGATCTATTTGATTCCTCAGATAATATTATAGTCTCAAAAATCAGTCACATCCAACGAAAGATACTAGAATTTTCTGATTTTTGGGACTATGATATTTCGGAAAGGAAACATTCTACTCATAAATAGTCCTAGTCATGAGCAAAATCTCAGGTTGCAATATTCTCATTCGATTTGTTAGTATATACCATGTCATAGACTGAAAATCTAATAAAATACCTAATGGGATTTAATGCTGTCTAGGCTCTATCATATATGTAGAGTACGAACTCAAAAGTGATTCGACACTTGAACATGTTCTCTCGTTTAACAGAACTTAATTAGCAATCTTTCAGAAAAAAATTAAAATTTTGAATTCGTCAACTGCATTAATAAGCAATAACAAATGACTGTTTTTTTAGAAAGATTTGATCTATCGTTTAAATATTATTTTAAAACAAAAAAACATCCATATACATATTAATGGCATATGAACACTTTTAACTTTGGCTGATTTATTTCTGGTTAAAATATTATTTTAAAGGAAATTACTTTATCAAAAATTGTATCCCAACATTACTGAATATGATGTATAAATACTACGTCCTTTTAAAATTTTTTGTGATTATTAAAATTATTCGATAAAAATGGAAAATGGAAAATGATTCTTTATTTTTGTGCTTATAAACAAACTAATTTATATCGACATATTTCTTAACCTATGGCGCGAAAGTCTTGGTACAATTTTTTTTCTTTTTTTTCTCAACAAGAACTTAACTTTTAAGCTAATCATATTAAAAGAAAGTACGCATACACATGCACTAAGAATTAAAATTAGCAAGCTGCGAATGGTCCTCTGTGTGCGATTTTCGTAATTGCTTTCTTATTGACGAAAGCATCGCTTAGGCAGACTCCATGCCAATTATTTTCAGCTGCATGAGATCCCTAGTTCGAATTCGAATATAAATGAACATCCAACAGCATGGCATCAATTCGAAAATAAGTGATAGAAATAGATTTAGTTTTATATTTATATTTAGCTTAAGATGGAGTGGATGTGGGTTGAGGGGGACTAAGGGGTAACTGTGTGTGGCGGTGCGAGTGAGGGGGTGGGCACGAGGGATACCCGGGATACTTCAAATGTGGTTGTGGGTGATGGATAGCACGGAGGAGTGCTCAAATGTGGGTGCCGGTGAAGGGTATATATGTATTCATATGTCGCATATATCGGAAAGTTAAATTAAAACTAAATCTGGTCCTAGATTTAGTTTTAGTTTAACTTTTTCTTTTCTCCATTTATATTCGAACTCGAATTAGACAGCTACTCAAAATTTGCCAAATTGTTTCAATAGAACGTGCCTGAGGACAATCCCGTGAATTTTTTTCTTTAGGTACCAAATTGATATTTTTCTCTTCGTAAAAATCGAGCACGTGTTGGCACTTCTTCGATTTGTTTTTCTGTGTATCGAGGAGCGCGTTTCTTTTTTCGATAGTGTATGCCCATATCAATCAATAATGGCTTACGTACACGTAAAAAAATGACTAATACTTTGGTACCAAGACTTTTGTGCCATATGTTATTCTGCTTCATCAGAGAAATCTAGTAAGAGATTCGATCAGGGCTGAAGATTTTATCAATCCATGAAAGACACCTGTACGATGTCACTCAAAAAGGCTTATCTTTGATTTCAATCACTCGGATACAAGCAAAACAGTGAGGCCGACTTGATGTGATTAACGCTCGAGTAAACAATGCAAATGTATCACATCAATAAGCAGTCTTGGTGAAACACGATATTTCTCAGTGAGAATAACTCGATCATGTTTACTCATCGGTAATTTTTCCTTTTGAAAATAGTAGAAAAATACAGTTGAATGATAAAGTATCATTGGTCATACGCTATTTTACTAATTTCATATGCTACTCTCATTCTAGTTAATCATGTCTACATTTTCTTTCACTACGAAGAATTAAAATTTCTCTTACTAAATTAAAATATCGTCCATTATATTCCACTAATAAATGAATAATATAAGCAAAACGCTTTGGTTCTGAAACAAAAAATGTTAATATATCGAATTGTTCTTGATCGATGGCATTTTTCATTGACGAAGCATCAATTAATTCTCGCATATCAATATTTGCTTCAAGCCAAGAGGATAATACAATATGTTTAACACATTTCAATTGACCTTTTTCTATAGCTATATCAAATGGAGTTTTACCAGCACGATTTCTTTCAGTTATTCGACATAATGCCTGAGCAAAACAAATAAAATCTAGCATTTCATAAGAATATCAACGTTTTCTCTACTTACAGTTATTCGATCACTCGTAGAATTAAGTCGTTTCGATAGTGTAATAGCACGATGTAAAACAACATCGCTACAATGTTCACATGCATAATGGAATACACTTGAGCCATTGTCATCATTCGCAATAATTGATCGTGGATCAGCTTCCATTAGTAGAGTAGCTGTCGATACGGAACCAGCTTCAATGGCTGTTAACAATGGTGTTTGTCCTTTTGCATTCATTAATACACTAGCTTGTGAAGTTTCACTGATCAATAAACGTAAGATTTCATCGTGACCAAGACGTGCAGCTAAATGAAGAAGTGTTTGACCACGGATTTCTTTCACTGGTGTTGCAGCAATGGAAATTGCTTGTTGATCAATAACAGATGTAAATGTGCCATTGACCGATGAATATTGCTTTCCTGGTAGTGAAAGAGATCCCGGTGGTGGTGCTTGTATAACAGGAAGATCAGATTTACGTTCTGGAGTACGAAAACGTCTTTGATAGTTTGTTGACAATTGAAAGGAACTACGTCGTGAAAAACGTGAACGAATAACTTGTGGTGCAAAACGATAATTTTCTCTAGCTGATGCATTATCATCAAAATCGTTTTCATCTTCGCTTAAATCATTTGGTATTTCAATAGATGGTCCAGCTTGTAAGCGTTTCACACGATTTGAAATCGATGGATTCAGCGAAGGTGATCGAGAAAATTTTTGAGTTGTTTGGTATGCTGGCGAAGATAGTGTTGATAAGACTGATGGTGATTTGTTGCCACCTTCGGAGATACTTTGAGATTCAAATGCAAATGTTTTCGGTACAATTAAACTCATCGAAATATGTTTTGACTTTTGCTGCTGAAAGCTATGATAACGATGTGCACGCTTTCATCGTACAAGTTATGGTATGCAACGTTTCGAGTGTATCTGTATGTCTGTTGAGCATAGGTAAGAAGAAGAAAAAAGGAGAAGAACGCAAAAAGAAAAGCGTTGAAACCTTGATAAATATACATCACAGCAGTATAGAGATAAAAAATGAGACAAGACAAAAATACGCCCATTGCAAAAATTGACTCAATAAATCACATTTCTCTTAGTGTTATCTAGTTTTTTAATTTTACTCTAAATTAGTAATAAGATGAATATATATTTATATATTTAATTGGAATTTCGGTTTAATATTTCTCTAATGAATTCGTTCCTATGATTTTCATGGGACAAGAGAAATATTGAATTTAAGATTTCCTATTCTTGATATAGTTTTATTTGTTGTATCTTGCTTGCATTTTTGAAGATTATATTTTGCTTTTTATATTTTCTATCGCAAAAAAAGTATAATTACATTCGTGAGAACAATAATTTATGATTCTGTTTCGGTTCATTAGCGTTTATAAAATGCTGACACCTGTTGTTTTATATATTTTTTGTAAAACAAACTAAATGTATCTATACATATTTAGTATATACATATCGAAGTATAAAGCTTCATTGGAATCTTTTGCGTCTAATAAATGAATATCATTAAGGCATGACAATATCTATCAATCTTGGATTTGTCATATCAAACCGTCATGGTAAAGTTGCTTCTTGTTCTCGGACGAAAAACATGGAAAATATTCGATAATACTTCCGAACATGAGTCATAGTATTGAATATGAACTACCTGTACATTATGATGGCTAAATGACAAAGCATATCAACAAAAATTAATATGTTTAGTAGAAGTGAAACTTAAATTCAATAGTTTTTACAATATTGACAAAAAGATGAATGACGACGGTCAGTAATTGATAGTATAAAACGAGTAATATCTGTTACTATTATACTTGACGGATCGTCAAATAAACTTTACGATGGAACAAAATTATAATTTAAGTATTACAGGTTATATTTTTAGTCTATTAGGATGGTCAACTGCATAAATAAATGAGATACAGTATCGAAATTAAAAAAATTGAAGCTGTACTTCTGTACCTTTCCTCAGCCAATGGTATTCTCATGGCAGTTCTTAAATTGTGTTGTTTTAAGATTATTAAAAAACGAATGTGCACCAAAATGTTAAGCAAAGGGATTGCTGATGATCATTCTATTTTAATTTACTTTAAAGCTATAGAGATATTATAACACTACGAGTACAAGAAAGAAGCGTTTCTACGTAGCATGAAGCGAGACTGGTGTGTAGATTTTTAATAGTTACGTCACTTTTTAACATGATGTTTCTGTGTGGTGTAAAAGCAAAGAATATTAGCAAGTTCAGGTTTTTCGGGCATTCAAAATTATTAATAATCTTGTATTAAGCTAAAACTAAAATTTCGATTAGTAAGTTGCATTAAAATAAAATATCAATGGTTCATTTGTCTTTTGTGTTGCTCATAACTTTTTTCTATTCATTGAGCAATTATTTCAAATTTGGCCACAACATTTGATCTGTATTGCTATGCCTATGTATACCGATCATCGTTCGATTGTAATGTAGCTTATCATATTCTGATTTCTTTTACGAAATAGGCGATGATGATGATATATCGATGCATTTGTATCTACGTTTTTTCTTTTTTCAAATGTATAAATATAGCTGTTTTAAATTTTGAACTTTTAATTAATCCAAAAAATTATAAGCAAATATCTATGCAGAATGCAAATGAATTTCGACGGTGCTGAAGCTTGAGAATGATGCTTTTTAATATGATTGCGTGTATAACTAATGATGGATTTAAAAACATTTTTATTAAAGAAATATGTTACCAGGGTTTATATGAGACTTGCTCAAGTCATATTTTTTTCCTATCACTTTAGATTAAAACTGACAGCAATGAAAAACCAGTTACACAAACGCTAAAATAATATCTAGACTTCAGTCATACATCAATTTCTGTTCTTCGCCTTCAGTCGATATATTTAAATTTATCCTTTTTTTGTTATCATGCGTATATTTTATTTTCTAGTGCTACAGTGTATTTTTAGAATCAAATATATCAATAAATCATCACCACCGCTTGCTTCTTCAGATTCCAATGAAAATATTTATGCTGTACAAATTGGCTATGACAAGTTTCAATATATTGAAGATACTTTGTTCAAATCGACGTTCATATAATGAATGTTCATATCTAAAGTCGAAGACTCCATTTCAATAAAAAATATTGGGCCATAGAAAGCGTCTGAGCTTTATAGACAAAATTTAATTCAAAAATTTTACAAGGGTGTACCTAAGGAAATATATTCATTAGTTCCTGTTCACAGTGTCGAACTCTATTATATGCAACTGTTGCCAGAAGTTCAAATTCTTCGTGTAAATATTCGGTAAAATAAACAACACAATTTACAAACAATAACACAATAAATAAACATACGCAAAAAAAACATCCACTCATAAGTAGAAATATTTAATGAGTATTCGTGAAAGCGTGTCGCATAGTAATTGTATTTCGTTGGTATTCAATAGCTTCAGCTCGATTTTGCCGAAGAACTGTTAAGTTGAATATCCTAAAAATTTTCTTTTTGATTTCGAGTACAAGTAAAAGACAAATATATGGTAATATCAATGATTGCAGATAAGAAAAGAAGACAAGAATTTTTGAAAGAACACAAACGTAAGTTTGTCGGTATTGCTAAAAATTTGAGTCAGTGCAACTGTTGAATACGGAACCCAAGCAATCAAATAAGGCAATGCGATTACAAGTAGTTGTAAGCTCAATTTTAATGAACGACGCTACAATAAAAATTATAAAAAAAAGTAATTGAAATTTATTTTTGAAAATAAAACTGAGAATATCTTACCCATTCTGTACGTCTAGCTACTGTAATCGCATTTCTCATTCGATGACGTGTAATAAGATGATGTGCAATCAATACCACGTTGACTGCAAAAGTAATCATTACCATAACTATTCCATTTCCACGCCAATCAATCAAGCCAAGAGTACGTTCAAATTGGTAATGAGCACCAAAACAAACATATTGATATATATTATAAGATACATTATAAGCTGAGCAGAAAAGCGTGAAATCGTCAAGATGAGCCAAAATGCGATAGATTAACTCAACAGGTAATTCCAGTAGAGACGATATAATTTCATCAGACATCAATGTTGTTACCTTTTGAATAGTAATTAGGTTCGTTATAAAAGAAATGCTTACCAAAACTTCTCTTGTTTATTATGCTTGTTGATAATGAATCATTAGCCTTTATCGTAGAGATTTTCTATTCTTACGCAGAGGTATGCAATAACGTAATTCAAACATCGATGGACAACTCAAGCGTGTAAGGTTTATTGAAACTATGCGACATATTTTTACCTTAATCGTATGGGAGACTTTCAAATTTGTTTTCTGGCTTATTCCTGATTATTTTCATTTCTCTCATACGTAGTTTATATCTAGTTCTTTTTGAATTTTTCCTTCGCTTTTCTTTTGGTATTTTATAATAGTAGAGAAGAAACAAAAATAGCTAGACGTTTTGAAGAATAAGACAAATAGTAAATGAAATAGGAATAAATACATTATTATGTAAATCTGATGATTTTTTTCTTGTTACATTGAGTACATACCTCACAGAAAAAATTAAAAACCACGATTTCCGGAAACCGCATCAAAGGTCTAAGTCCCGCGTTTATTAAAAAACGTCATCTGAAGAGTTTTTTCAGACCGCGATAAACCGCTTTTTTAAAGTATCTCAGGAAGGCTGCTATTCAAGGGGCGATGTAGCGAACTTATAAAGTTCTATCGCCACAAAAAAAGATTGCAGTGTCAGATTGATAGTCTAATTACTGAGGGACTTCTTCGAAATAAAGGGGCACGACATTCTCTTTGTCTCAAGAAATTTCCTCATACGTTGACACACAGGAAACATATAACCACGATCGTTCGTGGGAAAACGCAGTTATTTCTATTGTCAGCACGGTCGTTGCGATAACACTACGGTTCATCATAGAAAATTGCGCTGTATTAAAATGATTGAGGTTTTACTTCGAATTGTTTTTGGTGGCCATGAAGAAAGCGAACATGTATACCGTGAAGACGAGATAACCAAACTTACTGGACTTAATTTATTCAGAATTGCTTCGGAGGTGCTTATAACAAGAGTTTGTTGCAGAGATGGAACTGATCTGAAATCCGTATCGGTATAACGGCTTCATCTCTGAATTATTTCCTTCCTTTTCCTCGATTCCTTAAAACATACCATACACTCAATGCAACATTCTTATCTACAAATTACTAGAAAAATACTTTTTAAAACCCACTATAATAATATGCTCAAACCTGTTAAACACCTCGTATTCTGCTTTGCATCTATTTCTTTCAGGATTTAACATAACCACATTCACACCTTCAAGATTGAAAGTCCACTACAAAAAAATACATGTTGCTAATCATTGAAAATTCTCTTTATTTAAATAAAACTGAGCGTTATTTTTCGATGTATTACAATTATTGAGTTGTATACGTAGTCGTTGAAGTTGTTTAACTAATGGCTTTGGACCACAAACAAATACGCCGATATCTCGTTTAGTTTCGTTTTCGAATCTTCGTCGATAATTGATTGAAAATCAGCATCGAAATTAGGTCCTCCATAGTGTGTTTTCGATTATAAACCAGTCCGTATATCACATTGATCAGTATCATATTTAACTACTGCTCGTGCTTGAATCATTGCCCATTGTGTTAAATAGATATTATACGTGAGAAAATTAGTATGACTACCAAGTTCACGTTCAAGTTCTTGTAAAATTTGAGCAAACCATTCATAACACGACGTAGTATTATATATCCAATAGAAATAAACACGACGAAGTCGAATATGATTTTCTTGGGATGAACGAACATGTTTCAATATTGCAGCATAGGGTGTTACTAAAAATGGGGGACAAAAAAAGAATGATAGGAAAACAACTTCTAAAATCGTACCTCCAATACCAGCATCAATAAGTACTACACTATCATAATTGAAAACATCATCAGCTGGACTTCCATACGGACCATCAAGACTTAATCGAAAAATGCTTTGTGGATAGTATTCAAATTTTTTCGCTAACTCGCTCGTCCAATTCCCGACTATTCGAATATGAACACTGATGCAATTTTCTTCAGCAGCTGATATGCCTGTAAATGGGTGCCATTCAAATTTAGCAATAGAAAAGCATTTAAAATAAATATATTGACCCGGCTGTGGTGTTGACATAGATTTTTTACGAAATCGAATTTCAATAACTTGTGATTCATGTCGACATGTTGTATACTACGTACTGAACGAAGGAAACGTTCGAGCATGTAGAACGCTATGGTCCACATAGTGATATCCAACTAGTTGACTTTGAGTCAGTAAATCGTGGATAAATACGGCATTGTTCATACGCACCCCATTGTCGATAGAGTGATGCACATATATCTGGATTGTGTTCTTGAATATTCCAGCTCCGGTATCAAGCATAGCAGCAACACCTATAGTACTGGAAGTAATTTTATCAAGTGGATTTATTTGTGACTGTGGTGATTGCAAACAGGGTAAATTAAATGCAGCTATGAGTGAGCTATATTCATTAAGAACATTAACTAAACGTTCATAATTGTAAAACGACGAAAACGAGATTGAGCTATACAGCGTGTTAAAATATGTCAAATTAACGATAATACATTACGACGTACCGGTAAAAGTATTTAAAAAAATAAAAATTAAGACACAATGCTGATGCACGTGTGATACGAACACCATTATATATTAATACACGTAAATAGAAATATGATCATAATCGATGATAGCTAATTGAAAAGCTGCACAACAAAAAGAATCATATTCAATAGAATCCATATAAATAAAGCAAAGATTGTTGCAAGATCATTGACGATAAAAAGTCGAAATCCGAGACGAATCGATTGAAGAGACATAAAATAAAAAGTGAATGATTAAACATACGGGTAGAAATAGAAATGTAGTAATATTCTTTTTGTTTTAAATATTATTCAGAGTAGGAAAAAATGATTCATCTTTCTATTCATATTATTGATAACATTCAAGTAGTAATATACGAATCATAGAATGAGATTGTGTCTTTTGTTAGCTCAAGATTATTCGATTTTTTTTATCGTCATGATATAAAACTCAAACTTTAAAATGTCATATTTAAGGTAGAAAGAACGGTGGCGATCATTTTTCATATCGTTATATAAAAATATTAATAGGATAACTGCAAATGAAAAATTTGTAAAAAACAGAAAGATGTGTTTTTTGTTGTTGTTAATTAACTGAAGATATATCTATTTTTAAACATATTCGCTGATTATTCAGCATCGTAATACGGAAGTAGCACATCAGTACAAAACGATCAAATAAATTGAATTATCTTTATTGATTAGTTAACAATAATTTATTTCAAAAGTACTATAAAGAAACATAATTTTACAGAATGAAAAACCATTCTAATTTAATAAGAATTCAATCAATAAGATAAAATATTAGTTAAAAGCAACAACAAGAGAGAAATGTTTAAATAGTTCATGTTACTATAGAATTAATCATGTTCCAATCATTTCTATTATTGAACTGTGCATGTTTTCTTCGTTTACATAAATCTGTAATGAAAATAGGTGATTTCCCATATTTTGGTAATTCTTTTGTTTCTACTCGAATTCGACCTGCTGCTACGCCATACTGTCCAGCTAATGGTAAAAACCAAAAACAATTTTCATCGCGTAAGCCAGCAAATATATAATACCAAGCACCAATAAAATACAGTACGTCACTATATTTATATAACATATTTGTTCCATATTCTTCAGGATATAGATTGATTTGTATATTATATACAACATAAACCAGTGAACTTATGGTTGTTGTTAAATAAGCTATTGTATCAGGATCATCTAAAGTAAAGCCACGACCTAATGTACGAGTATAAGTCATATACCAAGACATGATCCTGAAATAAAAATTACACGTTGGTTTTTCCTTCTTTGTTTCTAATGAGTATTTTACCATCCAAATGAAGCAATCAATTCGATGATAGTTGCTACAAGTTCAATTTTATGTACAGCTAAAGTATAATAGCCACCAAGAATATCTTGACGAGAATACCAAAAAGCCGACCAAAGATAAAGTCCAGCTTCAATATGATTTAAATATTCAGGTATCATGACAATATCAAACCATGATCGATCACGCCATGCCCACAAATAGAGAGAAGCTGATAGTAAATGTAAAACTCCAAGTCCAATATAATATCCATTGACATCCGGATTGATATTGACAGGTGAATCGAGATTTTTCGATAGAACCTGTGATGTATCAATTGGTTTCTCATTAAAACTTGGATGCAAATTAATAATTAAAATTCCTATAGAATAAATTAAATAGACTAAATTCGCAAGCATATATCGGCTGCCTAATAATTTTCTTAAACAAATTGGCGCTCGGACTCTCACATGTTTCCATTGTAATGCTTTCGTAATAGATGTAAACGATTCAAATTCATAAATAGGTGAAGTTGAATCTTTCTCGTCTATGATAGTGACCGATGAGCCTTGATATGTAACCATGATTGATTGATATGAGCAGTAAGAAGCATCATTTTCCTAATACAAATAGACAATTGTTAACGAATCAACAACTACATACATAGAGGGCACCGATACCTATCATGTTGAGTACTTCCGGCTAGTACAACACCGGAGTTAATTTTATTGAAATAAATATCTTTAGAATAGAAAAAAATTAATCTTCCAAAAATAAAAATAAAATGTCTATAATAATTTATCTGTTACTAGAATAAAAATATAACTACAGGTAAAATATCATAGTATTATTATTGTCGATTTTCCCATTAGATTGTTCATTTTTTTCTTTTCTGCGTTTACATATATCTGTAATAAGTACATTGGATCGCCCATATTTTGGTAGTGCTTTTGTTTCTACATGAACACTACCTGCAGCCACACCATATTGTCCAGCTAATGGAAGAAACCAAAGCCATTTGTCATCTCTTAATGCAGCAAATATATAATAAATAGAACCAACAAAACCTAGAATGTCAGCATAAATATATAATTGACTACTTCCATATTGTTCAGGATGAATATTCATCTGTATATTATATACAAAATATAACAATGTATTTGTTGTCGTTGTTAAATAACCCATTGTATCAGGATCATCAAATGTAAAACCACGGCCAAGTGCACGCGCATATGTCATATACCATGAAATCATCCTTTCAACAAAAAAAAAGACATCAGTTAAAGGATCAATAAGATATTATCCATGCTTACCATCCAATGGAAGTACATAGCTCAACACATGATGCCAAGAGTTCTATTCTATGTACAGCAATAGCATAATAATCACCAATTGTTTTCTGTTTTGCATACCATAATGATGACCAAAGGTAAAGAACTGCTTGTACATGATTTAAATATTCTGGTATCAAGACAACATCAAACCATGATCGATCACGCCATGCCCAAACGTAAAGAAAGGCAACTAAAATATTAACACCAGCTAGCGCTTGAAAGATAAAGAAGCAAAGCAAGTGTATAAAAAAAATAATACGAGTCATTATTTACCAATATAGAGTCTATTCGCATGCATATTTATAATCACCGGTTGATCGAGCATTGACCTTGCATCATTGGATAATCCCGTTGATGTCGAAATATCAGAAGATGTTGCATTAAAACTTGGATGAAAATCAATGACTAGAAGTGCAATTGTATAACTCAAGTAAACTAAATTAGCTAACATATATCGATTGTGCAGCGTTCTTTTGAAACAGAGTGGTACTCTCTTTCGTACATGTTTCCATCGTAATGCATCCCAAAGTGACTTGAAAGCTTCACGTTCATGATAGGGAGCTATCGAGTCGTCCTCATCATCATCTTCATTGGTTATTGCTTGACGACTAATTGTAAACATAATGAAAAAAAAAGTTTCATTCGCTTGAATGAGCAGCTATATCACTTTTATATGTACGTACCATTGAAAAAACGACAACGTATTACTATGTGTACGAAAAAAAAGTGATTGGTATCTGGGGAGGTATGCATCACAAAAAATAGTCAACATATAACTTTGTATGACAGAATTAATAACCGTATCACTATGGAATTCTGCTTTGTTCATTAAGCAGGGTATACTAACTTGAGATTTTAAGGCTGATGTAAACTACAATGTTTCAATATTTATGATTTGTCAGATTAATTTTTTTTAAGCAGTGCTTTTGTTTGTGTACAATCATGACGATGAAGTAAAAAAAAACAATTCATTCTACAGCTTCAAAGTAATATGACTTCGTCTAAATATAACTATCACGTTGTCATAACTAGTACTCGGATAAATGAATTTTAAAAAACTGGTACGCTTATACACATTGTACGAGAAGTATTTTATTTAAAACAATAAGTCATATTTTTAGTAAAAAAAAATAGATAAGATGATTTAAATTCTACGAAAATTTTCAACCGAAAATTTGTATCAATCGCCAAATTATTGATTGTTCTGAACAGATCTTGCTAGGTATGTGAAAAAATATATTTCTTTGTTCACAGTCAATATGAAGAGAAAAAGACTATTAAAAATATTCTGTAAGGACATCAATATTTGCATTGTTATCATATTCTTCATGAGGCTCCCTTGTCTGTTTTCTTCGTCGACATAAATCTGTTATCAGTATTTCAGGACGGCCAAATTGTGGTAAAGCTCGTGTTTCGACACGAATTTTTCCCGGTGCAACACCATATTGTCCAGCTAGTGGAAGAAACCAAAACCAATTTTCATCACGTAGAGTACCAATTATATAATAAACAGAACCAATAAAACCAAGAATATCAGCATAAACAAATAATTGATTACTTCCGTATTGTTCCGGATAAATGTTTAATTGAATGTTATACACGAGATACATTAATGTATTCGTTGTTGTTGTTAAATAACCCATTGTATCAGGATCATCAAATGTAAAACCACGGCCAAGCGCACGCGTATATGTCATATACCATGAAACCATCCTATAAATATCAACAATATTGATTTTGCATACATAGTTATTAATGTATATTACCATCCGATGGCAGCGCATATTTCAGTGCATGATGCAGCTAGTTCAATTCTATGTATAGCCATAGTATAGTAACCACCGAATGTATCCTGTTTGGGATACCATAATGATGACCAAAGATAAAGAGCTGCTTGTACATGATTTAAATATTCTGGTATTAAGACAACATCAAACCATGATCGGCCACGCCATGCTATGATATAGAGAAAGGCAATTAAAATATTGAGCGCAGCTAAACCTAAGGAAATAATTATTTTATTGAGGTCAACATAAAAAAGAAAAGTGTACCGATATAAAGCCGATTAGCATAATCATTCATATATACAGGTTGATCAAGTGGTGATTTTGTTTCATTGGATATATCCGTTGTGTCACAAGTGTTCGATGATGATCCATTAAGATCAGGATGAAAGTCAATGACTAGAAGTGCAATTGTATAACCCAAATAAACCAAATTAGCTAGCATATATCGATTGTGTAATGTTTTTTTGAAACACATGGGGACTCTGTTTCGTACATGTTTCCATCGTAATGCATCCAAAATTGAATTGAATGCTTCGAGTTCATTGTAAGGAGCTGTTGAATCATCATCATCTACTTGAACTTTAACTGGAAAATTAACAGGCATATTGTGCAAAACAAAAATATCCTATGCCTTCAGATGTCCAATATATATAAATACAAGTATTATATGCATGAAGTAAAACATGTTGTTCTATGTCATGCATTTGATTCTGTTGCAATCAAATTTTTATAGGTTTCGTTGTAAACATACCGATACAATTTTCACATGTACGGTTTAAGTCAGTGATGTGCATATGCCATTTTTTTTTATTGACAAGTCTTCCACATATGCAGTATCACGATCATTTGATTATTACTATTGAAGTGTATAATGTAGAGAAAATGTTTTCTTCTTCTTCTTCTTCTTCTTCTCAGGTACAATCTAGAAGTTTTTCTTTCTTTTTATTATTGACAAGAAGTTCACTTATTATTATATATATAAATATTCTTTTGCTTGTTTGTTAATCAAACAGAAATCTTTTTTGTTCCTCAGCAACGACACTAATCAGACAATTTCACGTAAATAAGAAAATTCCGAGTGGCTCGAAAATTAAATGATTCATTGAAGTGATTCTTTATCAATGATATTCTTTGTGAATTACAGATGTTATTAATCTCAAGAATCAAAATAAACCTTTACTTGGTTTCTTTCGTTTTCTACTTCATATAAGGTTAATTTTTGTTCTCAAGAACATGAAAAATTTTCTAAGCATATTATTAGATGTTTTTCTTTTCCCATTATTCATTCATACAACTCAAGTTGTTATAAATAATCTCAAACCACGCTTGGATGTTAATGGTACCATTATAGATGCACATGATGGTAGTATACAACAATTTGAAAAAAATGGCCTCTACTATATGCATGCGATGCAGTATGGTCTCTGTGAAGAACCACCAAACTATGGATGTGATGGAGTCAGTTTGCAATGTTTACTAGAAAAATAGAATAAAAAAAAATGATGTAAATTTAGGCAGGAATGCCAAGTCGATGTGGTTTTCAAATGAATCACAATATTAGTATATGGTCGTCACCAAATTTGACTTCAGGTTCATGGTCCTATGTTGGCAATGCAATTGATGTTGCTGATCGGCCAGCAGGTGTTTTACTTTTTTCTATATGTTCTTTTGTTTTTCAATTATTACGATGATATGATTCTAGGTGTTGTATTTCGTCCACATCTGGTATACAATCCTATTACAAAATTGTATGTTCTTTTTTGGAATTATATGAGATGGGGTCTACCTAGTTTATATGCAATTGCTATAGCTGATACGCCAAAGTAAATTATATGCTAATACATCTATTATTATGATAGAATTTCTGACAAAATCGCTTTTACCTATAGTGGACCATTCAGATTAATTAATTCTGCATTGAATGTTTCTCGAGGTGGTGGTGGAGGTAAGCTTATGTTCTCTTTCTCTTTTTTAATTTTCTTATTAATTTTTCCAGGTGATTTTGATATTCTTGTTGATGATGATGGAACTGGTTATATTATCTATTCGCAAAACTATTATATGAGTGTAGAACAATTAACACCTGATTTTTATTATTCAACAGGAAAATCTTATATGTTTGAAGAATATTTTGTTGAAGCACCCATATTTATGAAAAAAAATAATATTTTTTATGCTTTATTCGGTTGGTGTTGTTGTTATTGTATGCAAGGTAGTGGTATTTTAGTTCATACAGCTAATAATCCACTGGGACCTTATACACTTCAAGTATTCATCTATGTTTTTTCTTCTCAACGATACAAATGAATTTTGATTCTTTTTTAAATAGGCTAATGGTGATCTTGCTTGTGAACCAAAAAGTAACACTTCTAAAACAGTACTACCATTGACATCAATCAGTGGTCTACCTACACCTAATCAAGGTTGTGAATTTCATAATGTAAACACAACATCTATTGCTCGATCTCAACAAAATTATATCATTAAAGTTACGAATTCAACCGGATATACAACATATGTGTGGACGGGTGATAGGTAAAATTTTAGCTAAAAACAAAAACAAACAATGTTGAGCTTTTATTGTAAAGATTGAATCGGTCTTTTTTCTTCTTGTTGATAGATGGCAACAAGCACCCGATGGAATTAAAGGCCATGAACCTCAATATTGGGTTCCATTGAACTTTTACGAAGATGGAACTATTGGGAAAATGCAATGGATTGATGAATTTATTTTGGATGTCTAATCAATAGAATTCACAAAAGGAAAATATCCCTTTGCTATAATACATGAAAATAATACTGAAAATATTCTCTTTTCATAAAAATCTAAAGAAAAAAAAAACATTTATTTTAAATCGTCTATAGGTTTGTCTATTAAATAATAAAATCGTGAGCTTGCTTTAAAGCGTTTACACATATTTTATTTGCCAATATAAATTATAAAAACATTCTTAAAATCAAAGAATTTACCATAACAATGTCGTTCACTGTTGTCCCTGTTTGACCATTAACAATGGCATACAAACATAAACATGTGTTTTGAAAAGAAAATATAATTATATCTCATAGTCAATCGGTAATGGCTAATAAAAATTGATTAAAAAGCCCCTTTGAGACCAAAATGGAGTACTCACATACCAACTAATACGAAATAATGCCAATGAAAAGTCTACCTCAATTCCTAAAATCTATAATTATGACATAGCGCATTTGCTAATGTTTGTAATAGAGGGTTACGTCAATAAATATAATTTTAACGGATAAAGATAGTAAGTATATAATAGAATCACCTCGAAAGAGACTTCGATTCTTTCTTGTCTGCTTAAAATTTTCTAAAAATGTTCGTCCCATCCCGTCCCATGGTACGTCCCACACGGAGCTCTGTATGTTAGATCAATCTAAATTTAATTTATACGCTTCCAACGGCTAGTATGATCGTTCGAACTTCGAACGATGAGATAGTCCATGGGTGTGTACCGTCGGCAACAGATGTGTATCATTTCTAACCATTACATAAGATACAAAAATCAATGATATGTAAAAGTCGCATTTGATCGTCATATATAGTTCGCGACTTTTTGTTGTTTCGAAATGCGTTTACTGCCGTATAAATAATCTTTTTCTCATGATTAAAAATTATAAGACTTTTCGACAGTATATAGTGACATATCTTGTTCTGTTGAGGCTGTTCGGTGTGGATATAATTCAAGATGTATTTTTCTTTTGCTTTCCTTCGTATTCCTTTTCGTCGCAGACGAGAATACTACGCAAGGTCACATTTGTTTTCGCTTGTAATAGGAACAACAAAAAAAAAAGAAGAAGAAAATATCAAGAGCAGCCTTTTTCATAGTTAAGGTGAATGTCATCATCAAGAAAAGTCAGCATGTTATAATCTTTTTTATATAGCGTAGAATATTTCATCGTCGTTTAATTACTATGGCAACAAATTTACGTTCAACCATACTTCCTATCAGTTGGTTTCTCCATATAATTTTATGTTTCTATTTAATTCGAACGATTCGGAAAGTATTATATCGAATTATATTGACTTTAGTGCCATGTCTGATTTTAATATTTGTTGGTTGTCGAAACCTCCCATATTATCAAATGTCGTCAATTATTACTGTTTCACTTTATTGGATGATCACAATTCGTCTTATTCAGTTGATCTTATTTTCACCCGATGAAATACATTCATTCCGCATATATGCTTCGAAATTTCTCTGGCTTCTTATACCAATTGTACCTTGTCAATCAAAAAATTCGATTATTTTTCATGTGATCTTAGCTGTTGTTAAAATTTTATTAAACCATTGGATTTTTCAATGGTTGCGTATTTGTGAACCAAACAATAGCTATGGTAGATTGATTATGTTCTATATCAATATATGTACGGGAACTTTTATTAATGATATACAAATTGTTGCCGTTCGGTTGATAACATTGAACAAATACAGTCTATTAGAATTCAATGATTATCCAATTCTGTCGAAATCATTACGTGAATTTTGGGGTCGGCGTTATAATCGCTTAGTTAGCTCACTACTTAAAGAAGCTATCTTCAAACCTATTCATCACTTGCCATATTCCTCAGCATTGATTGCAGCTTTAGCAAGTTTTTTTATAAGTGGTCTACTTCATGCACATGTAGCAGTTGCTGGATTTGGAGCACCATCTCCATTACCTGCATTTCTATTCTTTCTTTTACATGGATGTGCTTGTTGTATCGAAACCATATGTCCATTTACACCGCCTAAACTGTTTGGAATTCTATTAACACAATGTTTTCTTCTTATAACAGCACCATTGTATGCGGGACTATTCACGCTTGCTCCATCAAATTTTTATGAATTTAACAAGCCATTACTGATTGATGCTACATGGCTTCCCAAAGTACCTGTACCCGACTTCTGCCCAAATTATTAGAAAAAAAAACAATTTTCAACATGTTTCTCATCATTGACAGACCGTTTGTACTTGTAAAATGATTTCTTGATAAAACGAATTCTTCAATGTACTTGAATTAAAGCAAATACAAAATATACGCATTCAATTGATTAAATCTGAATATACTTTCTCTTTTCCTAGCATCAATCTCAAAGGTCTTTCACTTTATTGTTTCATTTCTCTATGACATTTATTAAAGAATTATCACTTCACATTGCAGAATTAATCATAGAATTAAATAAACTTTTAAAATCTATAGCGCAAATGAAAAAGAAATACTACATAGTTCTTAAAAGTATTTAATGAACGGTGGAGACGGTAGATTAGAATCTGTATAACTATAAATAGCAGCGTCTTTGAATAAACATGGTGTTTCACGCCATAAATATCGAAGACCAAACAATTGCAGCGCAACGCATTGACTAGCGACAGTTAATGTTATTGTTAAACCATTTTTACTTGATACAACTGCTGGCACCCATAAAGTATCATCACTACACTTGGCACCTTGACAACACACTTCAAAGCCATTAGGATTTCGTAGTTCAATATTTTCTACACCACTATAAGTTACATTCACAGTTTGGCTAGTGCTCGCTAAACTAACACTTGATACAATGGGACCCTGAAATTCAACTTGTTGATTATACGCTACAGCAAGACCTGCACGTGATAGCCGATAGCCAACATCATGTTTAGTTCGAGGATGAATGCTAAGTATACATCACACATGCGAACAATACCACACACAATGGTTCTCATCCAACTTACTTATTAGGATCATCACGTAAATCTAAAGCAACAGCCATGAAGACTTTAGGCACGACACTGTTTGGCACATAACCAACATCGAATGTTTGATGCCATCGAATAATTGGGAACAAACCGACTTGTGTAGTTATATTTGTGAAAGTTGACAACTACAATATGAATATGACTTCGATTTATTCTTTAATTCAAAAAATGGAAATATACTTGGACAAAACCGAATGGAAACGTAGGATCTGTTAATCCACCTGTACGTTGATTCCATGTTTGTCTCCAATATTGTATCATTTTTGAAAATGCACATGCATATTTATCAGTATGATAACCAGCATTTGCTTCGCCTAAGCATTTTTAACAATATTATTCTCAATATTATGCGTTTAATGTCGTACTACCTTGATACCAAATAGCACCATAAACGACCATACGTGTAAAAGGATAGATCATTGCATTGAATAGATTAGAGTAATTCAGTGATAGCGTTTCAGAAGACTGACCATATGATTGTAATGGAACTGCCTCATTACTGGTTGTGAACATAAAATAGTGAGATTACAAAAATGAAGTTCGTTTAAAAACTTACGATGAAATACCACAATCTTTCAATGCTGGTGGTGGCATCCATAATTCAATAGCTGTACCACCCCAACTCGTCGCTATTAATCCGATTGGTCGACCGCCTAATGCTTCATGGATCATACGACCATAAAGCCAACACACAGCTGACATATAAGTAAACGAAGGCCCGCCGATACTTTGTGACGATGCAACCGACCAGTTCTCTACAATGCCAAGTAGTTCTTCGACAGGTGTATCCGACGGTTTCAAGGCGGCAGCAAATACTCGGATTTTAGGATATTTTCCAGCGTTGCTGATCTCTTCTGTTGCATTAAAAATATCTATGACAGCCATCTGCATATTGGATTGTCCAGAACATATCCACACATCTCCGAATAATACATCATGAAGTGTTATGGTAGCAAGTGTACCATTGGCTAATGGCTGTGTCACTTGAATATCGTAAGGCCCTTCATCGGAAACTGGATCAAGTGTTACTGACCAAATACTTTCGCCTAAGTTATTTGCTCGTTCTTTTCGGCTAACGGTTGTATAGATTTTATCGTTGAATCGAAGTGTAGTTAATTTGGTTTCATCTCCAAATCCCCAAATAACAGCTCTTTGTGGAGCTCGTTGTAGTACCATGTGATCTTGAAGATAATTAGCGAAACGAGGTACTCCATCACCTAGTTTTTCATGAAAATTATATTTTATGAAAATGATTATCATTTGAATACTTACTGCATGAAAGAGAAAGTAGAAAAGTTAACGTGACTACTCCGGACACGCCCATAGTTAAAATGTTCTACCTTTGCTTGATATCATAAGTATGATAACAGTAGTGTTAGACACCTATATTTTTATCTTTTTTTTTTGTGAAGTCAAACAAAGTATATATCAACAGAAGGTAAAAAATGATCTATTTATGAAGACATCCAATGCTTGCTCTGATAGATTGTGATAAATTGTTCTTCACGATAATTTCTTATGTTTATTTTATGTTGTTTGAAACATATGGGATGCCAATGAATGAAATCAACAAACTGCTGTGTGTTAAATTAGTGTTTAAAATCCTGAGAAAATAACTTCAATATAGGGTCGTCTGAATATTTATGAAAGATGTTTATTTCGATGAGAAAGAAATAATTTAGATTGTAAAATGTGAAATGGTTGCTTATGGAGTTTCTATAGATTGCTTTAAGTATCTGCAACATTTTCTATCCTTGTTGTTCAAGTAGTAATAGACATGAGTGCCTACATAAGTCCCTCTGTTCATATGTATCTACAAAATATTTCTATAACAACATTGCTATGCTTGAGATTATTTATCAAAGTTGTTTTTAAAGTAACGAATATTTTTTTAGTTAATCACTTGTCATAGTTCATCTGTAAACATTTTTAAACAGATATTTTGAAGAATGAAAGTGTTTTATCGCTTTCATAAAAATGCGCAGTAGAGAAACTTAAATCTACTGATTACTTTAATTAAATTTCGAATATGCTTTGAACGTTCTTGTCGCCGACGCACACTCTATTACGTAAACACCTAGACGACTAACGATGAAAAAAGTCATAGTACCTACGACAGCTTTGTTTCATGAAACGAGAGATTCATTCATGTTAACTTTACATTTTCTTTTATCTAAAGTGTTTTTTCCTGATCATGGTAGAATTTTTCTAACCTATGGTATTATTTTAAAGACACTAAGCAAATGTAGATAATTCACATATCACTCATTAGTATGCATTTGTTTCAATTTTCTCGTGTATCTTTAGTTCGTATTACTATGTGTGGATAATTTCTCGATGTTTTCTAATTCATAAAGTGAAATATTTTATTCCTATAAAATGTATATTCTTCTCACAATTAGTTCTTATTGATCACTAATACTAACTGTTGGAGTTTTTCTTCATTTTATACTAGCAAACATTAAATAAAAGGTTTCTTACTGATTTATTCAAGAAAGGGATAACCACGAAATGAAAAGGAAGATCTCTTTTTTTCGTGTCTAATAATTCTTTTTACCTTCTACTTGTTTTTTTCTCGGTGGTACCAACCATAGTTACTGAATTATGTACATTTTCGTTATAGTATTCAATGCTTTGCAATATATATTCACAATGAATTAACTAAATATTTATTTGTTTTCAGTAATTTTTATTACATTTTCTCATTCTTTATCGTATCGTTAATCGGTGATCATTACAAAAGTGGATATTCATTTAGTAATCGTTCATCAAACGAAACCATTTCTATTGAAGAAGCTCTCAAAAGAATTCCGACATAAAATGCCAAAGATCAGTCACAATAACGACCTCTTCTCAATACTGTTCAAACATAGAATCATCTTGCTTGTTCACGTCATCGTCCATATTGAATCATTTATAAAACACTTACTATAGAATGCAATTTTTATTAATATAGAAACATAATGCAGCAATAAATATTTGGCCCATCTATAAACATTATTTTAATAAGTTGATTCTATCTTCCAGTAGAATAGAAATTTCCATTAGAAACATTCGTTTTTAATGGTATCAAAGCTTAGTGTTCGACAAAAACTGAGAAATTAACCAATTCAATATATACACAAAAATCAGTATATATGTCATGTATGGATGAGTCATGAATTAACTCGAAACAATAATATGTCTAACCAATAGTAAAAAAACTGATTTCAAATAAAATATCATATTTAATTCATAATGAACAAACTTGACAGAACATAAAATTACAATCATGTTGAATGGGATGTTCTACATTTTAGATGGGATTCTCAATCAAAAATAGTTTAAGCAAGTATTAATTCAAGTACTGCCATTATTTTTTTCTGCTTGATATTTATCCAGGATTTTACGCCTGAATGTATATTTATTTTATGTTAATAAATTATAGAAAAGCTATGTCTTACTGATTTTAAAACGAGGCAAATAAATCGATGTTTTCTAATGAGCATTGAGAATAATACAAATCTATTTATGCACAAACCGTTGCTTTCAATACGATTGACCAGAAACAAATGAACTTTTCGACCTTTCTACATAATTCGAATAATAAAAAACACCTATATTAATGTGATACATTCCTAACTGAAAAGTGCTTTTAACTAACTTTATCTTTAGTGTATGTCACTATTTCAATAATTTAACATCAGAATTTATTCATTTTTATATGTCTGTGCATCACTATGATGATTATTTTCTTATCATATTGATTTAAAGTATGCCTGAAATAAGCATGTTTAGCAAGATAGAGAATCATTGTGGGATCATTCGTGCAGTTGGATTGCATCAAATCAAGAAAAAGTAAGTCTCTATGAAAGATGAAATACAAGTTATAAATATTTTCTTTTAACTTTCGTGAATCATTTCTCCTACTATTTATCATTATTTTTTATTTATTGTTTATCAGATAATTGATTTTATTCTGAGAAAACTTTAGTGGACATTTATGCATTGTGAACTGTGAAGATATATATGTACAGAAAATAGTTGTATAGAACTTACCTATACTACTTAAAAATTTTATAAATAGAGAAAAATCTGATGAACTATTTTAAATTCACAAAATCAATCAAAATCCCCAGTTAAATAAGCAGCATTACGACAAGTAGTTCAATCAAACTTATAGAGGCATATTGTATTGAAGAATGAGCCAATATCTTAATAGTATTATCATCATGTTTTGATATGTAGTCGAGGTTGTGTCTTTCTTGAAAGACTTAATGAAATTTTAGGATAGCAATAATATCATTTTGTATTTTACAATGAAATATTTGATTCAATAACGAATATCAATGCTATTTGGCAACACTACATTCTTTTAGTATAAAACATTTTATTTTCATCTCTGTTATTGTTGATTTACTCCTTCTTGTTCAGAATGGAGCACGGTGTAAACGTGAACAATAAATGAAACTAGGACATTTCTGTATCGTAATGAATATTTAATTAATTAATTACAATTACTGATATGATATCAATCCAACAACTTTTCATACGACGTACTTGTTTAGCTTTACTAATATTTCTATTATGTCTGATTACTTATTGTTATTATGATTCCGAAAATAATTATATTCCTATTAATATCATATTGAATGAATATTATTCAATTGAAAAACATCTTGAAAAAATACAAAACTGTACTTCAGAAGATCATTTTCGTCAACGAATTTTACTCACTATGTTTCATGCATGGAGTCATTTTACTGATATACATAATATTCAGTATTGGGTAGCTTACGAAACACTTGTTGGTTATATACAACGTCGAGGTTTATTACCTCATGAGCTTGATATTGACGTATTAATGTTAGTCCAAATACAGAAAACCTGATTCCATTTTCTGATGCTTATTTCTCATCAGTCTATGAAATTAAACTGTATATACAACGGAATGTTGTGGGATATACGAATCGTTCTTATCATCAGTCACAAGGTATCAATTTTGTAGCACCAAATGCTCGATTTATACATCGAAAACTTCATTTACATATTGATATTCGGCCTATTTATGATTATCATCCTAATCATTTGAGAAATACAACGAAAATAATAAAAACTCTCACAGAATATAGTAGATCGTACGAATGGATATCTTCACCAATCGAATAGACATTTCCTTTTAAAAGATGTGTTTTTAGCGGTATTAAAGTATGGTGTCCAGCCATGCCCGAAAAATTAGTAAACATGTTGTATGGAATAGAAACTTTCAATAAAACAGATACGACATGTATTAATGGTACTTGGGCTAAAATTTAAAAAAAACTTTAAAAACCAGCACTGTCAATGGTATTCTTTTGCCATGAAGAAATGAAACGAAATTGAGTTACTGTTGCTAAGCATCCACATACGATATTATTCTATCCGTTTAGCAACGTATGTCTTCACCATTGGTTTAGTTAAACGTCAAAATTCTATCTACAATCTACAATCTATGAAACGAGGATAGATGTTGCTACAATGTATGTGTAGAATCACAATTTCTGCATTTTTACTTTGACTCTGAGATTAAAGATAGTTTTTCTACAAATTTGTAAAATAACTGTATGATTTTGAATAGATTATTATATGATATTCAATAATGACTTAGAACTGTTCCAATTGAACGTTAGCTATTGAAAATGAGATGTTTGAATTCCAATCGATGAAAACAAAAAATCAATTTATGTTTGAAAAAGAAATAAAAGTATGACACAAGAAAAGAAAAGAGTTATTTATAAGTGTCATTGTTTCCGGCTTGATATTCGACAGCTTTTCGTCGTAGAGAAGCAATACTGGAACCACGCCAAATATCATCATTATCATTGATTAAAACATCACTAGTGAATGTTGTCGCTGATGTAGGAAATGATAAATTATAGGATGATCCTGATGAACATGGATTAAGTGGATCAATATTGATTATTGATGGTAATCCAGTTGAAAAAAGTGAAGTTGTAGGTGCCGATGATGATGATGGTGGTGGTGGTGGTGGTAGACTAGCATAATCAACCATTGCACTTGATGAATAAAAATGTGGAGTTAATGATTGATCGATCTGAATAAATAGAAGAAAAAAATAATAAGCTATCCATAGATTATTATGAATTTCTTTATTCAATTCGTTACCGAAGTAAAGTTTGATGATGAAAATGAAAATTGACTGCAATTATTATTATTCATAGGCCATTTTACATAATGATGGTCACTTTGCGATAGTGACGTTTGTCCATCGATTGATGAATTTATTAAACATCCATATGGATTTAATGATTGAGGATGTAAGCTTTGATGATGTTGGCGAAAAACATTTGTGGTTTTCTTTCTTTTTTTCCATTTTGCACGACGATTTTGAAACCAAACCTATTGATATATTATTCCAATAGAAATGTATCTTGATAACAATCTAGCAAAATAAAACTACCAACCTGTACTCGAGATTCAGTTAAACTGATTCGTACAGCTAATTCTTCTCTCATAAAAATATCTGGATAATGTGTTTTATTAAATGATCTTTCCAGTTCATTGAGTTGAGCAGGTGTAAAACGTGTTCGATGACGTTTTGGTTTACTTATTGATAATGGTGATGATGAAGAAATAAGTAATTTATTCGATGGTGTCGATGAATGAGTATCATCATGAGATGATGTCGATGAAGTTCTCGTTGTTGTCAGCGGCGGAGAAGACCGATTATTACCATCGATTGATGACAATGAATGACTCGATAGACGAACTCATAAAAAAAAGTCATAAAAGAAGTAAAGTATTTCCCACACATACATATATATATATATATAAATCTTTGTTTCACCTTAATTAAATTTGACTTCCTTACCTTGTTGTTCTTGTTTTCTATTATCAGATTGATTATTGATACAATCGCTGTTTATATTGAACATATTCAAATTAAATTAATACTACTATTCTGTTTTCTAACTCAATTAATTAAATCCGTTTTATGTAAAGAATTAAATAGATATGATTCTCTTCTATATTTTTCATTTCCACAGTATAAAAATAGACGAGAGAAAAAGCAAAGAGAGAAAGAGGAAGAGAGAAAATGTTTGTCACAATCAATTGATTTTTCTCTTTCCGGGCACCTGCTTCAAAACAACCAATCGTATTTTTTAACCAATCAATGTCTGATGTGCCTTGAAGCACATCCGTTACTTATAGGAAACATACACGCGACAATGTCATTATCAGATTATCATATTCCATAAAACACAAAAAACAAATTTATATATATGTATTTGTATGTATACCAAACATATAGAGTAGCATGTTTGATGATGCTAAGAATGAATGAATTCATTTTTTCTAATCATGATACACGACGGATGCAACCATATAGACAGGAGATGAATTGATGATGCGAAAAAAGAAATGAATTAACTTAATGCATTCATAAGTGAATCTAGAGAAAATTCAATAAAATCAACACAGGCAATCTTATGAATTATTATAAGTAGCTAATAGAAAATTCTTCAAATAATTTTGCCATTTTTGATTTTGTTTCATTATCTGAAATATAAAAGGGTATAGAATAACTTTAGGATTTGTTATTTTCAATCGATCATTTTTAAAAGTGATATTATAGTATCCTCAAGATCTATTTCTAATTGATCTATTTCAACGTTGACTAACGCAATAAACAAAATATAAAGAACTGTCAAATTGATTCAAAACGTCCGAAGAGTAGTCTTCATTACTAGCTAATTAAAATGCTTCACATCAGCAATGGAGATAGCTTATTATTTTTAGCGTTGAATAACTAATTCATCTATGCAAATAAAAGAGTAATTCTAGGATAATAATAAAAGTAATTTCGTTATTAGAGAAATTTTTATTTTACAATTGAATTTCATACGATTACCATGTCTTATGCACTTGGAATAAGTCGATGTTTGTTTTGTAGAATAGCTTGTGAATTTGAATTGACAATCAGTGGCGGATCCAGAAAATCTGTTAGGGGGTGGCGCTCCTGGCCAAAAAACAGTTTTTCAAGTCTATTTGAGGCAGAACGACTATTTTCTGTTGCATTTCTGCTGGGGAAAATCGAAAAAAATTTCTTAAGGGGGGTGGCGATCGCCGGGTAGCCTAACTGGTAGATCCGCCACTGTTGACAATAGTCATCTCATGGAATACAAACTTTATATCTACATTTTCACTTGATATTAACTGTGTTCTCATTGATCTGGATTGAAAACTAATTAGAATCAAACTTGAAATCGACTAAAATCGATAAAGGTTCACTGGGAGAGGATTGAAATGAAATAGTCCTATCACAATTGCCAATCAGCAATGAATTACTAATAGATTATTGCTCTAAAATAGCTATCTTCTTAGCTATTCAGATAATTCAAATCAATTTAAAACTATCTTCTTTACAGATGATTTAATAATATGTTCAATCAATTTAGTTTTAATTAAAATACTATCTTCGACTCAACAGAAAGCTATCATATCTTATGTTGATTATTGTACACTAATAATTATAACTTTTTATCCAAATGAAAATTATATAAACAAGTCATTTCACAAGCGTAGTTAGCGCCACATATTCAATACAGGGAATCATATGTATTAGTTCAGTTCACACACCAATCGATATATCAGTCTTTCTTTGCTCGTTCGAAAAATTTCAAGTTAGATTTTATTTGTTCATTATAATTATTTGTTTTGCTTGTAATTAACGATTACTATTTACGTATTAATGATGAAATTACGACGACAGCCATTTTCTGTATATAATGCTAGCCCTGATTCCAATACGCAACACTCTGTACCAGATCAACCACTACGTAAACGTCAACGAAAAGCTTCTATCCAGTCGACATCAGAAAATGATGAAAATAATAGTGAAATCGAAAATCGTTCATTACTATATACTTCGGATGGTAACATTGAGCGATTGTAGAATTAGAAAAAAACGTTTTCATATTGATTTTTAGATACAGACGACGACGATTACAGTAGTGGTATTCAAACTCGATCTATAACATTTGCCAAACGAAAGCATGATGAAATGAGTAATTATAATATGTTCTAAATCTTTTGAATATTATTTATTTCGATATATAAACCTGATATCTATTAGAACAGCAAACAGATTCCACCATTCACTGTTGACGCTTTTCCAATAGTACTGGCGTAAAATCAGATACACAAATAGGTCAAGCAAGAGATTATCATAACTCATGAAAATAGTTAAGTAAAATTTCGATGAAGAAATTTCAGTTCTCAGTTACTTTGTATTAGTTTTTTGTTGAGTTATGTATACATAGCTGATACTCTCTTTACTAAGGGCTATTTTATGAAAAATGGTTCAAATCAAGAGATTATCTGCGATTAGATAACTATCAAAAGATGGCTATATTCGAAATGGAATCAGATCTTTCATTTCGAGAATTGCCTTTGAAAACCCATATGTGGATACAGTAGAGGATGCCAATTAGTATCGGTGAAAAAGGGACTAAACCGATGATTTAAAGTTATGTTGTTGTTTCTGATCATACCTAACGTAAGACATTTTTGTTTTGTAGAAAATCTTTTTCAAATCTTGCATTGATAACATACAACGTGTTTTACTTGTACTGAAAGATAGATAGTATCCCTAGTCGAACATCTTTTGGGATGCGCATGAGATACTTGAGGATCTGGAGCAAGAAAGTCCTGCACTATGGACAAATCTTGAAGCCAGACTTGACGTTTTGCTAAGAGCTCAAGTGCTTGATTTAAAGTACTGTATGAAATTTTGAATTGAAGTTGATGTGATTGAGAATGATGATTGTTCAATTTAATATTTAGAATCAGAGCAAGAAGACGAGGATGAGAATGAAGTACTAAATGAATCTCAATCGGATGACGACGATGAAGAAGAAGAAAGAGTTATTAAACAATCAAATACACGGATGGTGACTCGTCAAATGTCACTTGTTATGAATAATCAAACAAAATCTAAATCAAGCGTAAAAGTTCAACCATTTGTTGATCATACTGAAGATACAATGAGGTAAACTGTGAAATATTCAATAAAATCAATTTTTTTATTCAAATTCGTTTTATTTTTAAAGCGAGAATGGAGATCATCCACCGTCTACACGTCTTCGTTCAAAACGTTTAAAGAATGAGCAACATAACATGGATAATGGTGCACAATTTTTTGTTCGAATAACTCCTATTGATAATGATGATACATCCCAACCAGCAGCATTTTCTGCAATAAGAAAGGAAATATGTTTTTATTACACAACACCTGTACGTGCAGATGATGCTGATATTGATTATGAACAACTAGTTAATCGAACACGTATTAAACCGGCATCAATGGATCAATGTAATCAAGGACAATTATTACCTGATGAAAGTATTGATAATGGCAATAATACGCGACCACATGAACTTATACCATATTTACTTCAACTTGAAAACAGTCTAATGCCTGTATTACCAATTATTAAACAAAAGAAAAGTAAAATAAAGTTAACAAAAGATATTCTTTTTTTATCTTGAACGTTTTTTTTTCTTGAGTAGAATTAACAAAAGCAGGTACAGTTGTTTATCAACGTCGTTTTCAAGTATTACTTGATTATTTATATGGTCCGCAACGTTGTTCACAAATATCGGAACTTATTCGACTACATCTGCGTTCTAGACTTGTACTAAATACACTTTTTCTTACAGTTAATTTATTTGATCGTGCCATTTTAACTGGCCAATTACCACGTGAATGTTATTCAGATGGAAATCCTCATTTATTACTTACTTGCTTACTTATTGCAGGCAAATTCGAAGAAGTTGAAGTAAGTTTTCATTGAACAGAATTGAAATCTGTCATTCGAAAACTTGTTATTACTATTATATTTTATCTCGAAATATCAGCACTCCTATTCACCTTCGAGCTTAGTTAGGGCTACACTGTCTCAAACATACATAAAACTGTTGATATCTTTGCATTGTTAATAATCAATAATAAATCCATAGTACTGTAGTTTATTTGTTCAAGTAATAAATCAGCTCGAGTTTCTCAATAACTATTAAATCTAATTTATTTCGATAAATTACATCTTAGCTGAAAGAAAACAATATTTGAAATAGACGGCACATTGCCTCTTTTTCTCTAGGGTTTTTTATTTGTCATACTTGAAGAGAAAAATTAGATAAAATATTGTCCCATAGAAATGGAAAACTTTGCATCAAAGTTTGAAAGAAAAGAACGAGGCACGCTAATTTTCATATCAATATAACTGATTAACACAGATTACATAGATTATAATGTCAACTAATTAAAGTAATTTTGAAAAAAAAGGATTTCTTTTCTAGTGGCCAAGTATTAGTTCATTGATTGCTAATCGTGAACCATTGAAAGCAAGTGATATAAAATCACTGGAAATTGTTGTTCTTCAAGCACTCTCATTCGATATTGGTTTAACTGTATTAGATTTTGTTTATCGATATTGTGAAATATCACCAATGGATAGATCAAATGATGATCTTCGTCTTTTATTTTTTATTTTGCAACTTTTATTGATTGATCCTCATACGTTCATTGCACATAAATCATCTTATATAGCTGCTTGTTCATATGCACTTGTACGACATCTGAAACAATATGAAGTGTAAAATGTTTAATAATATTGTAGTTTTTTTAATTTTGATTTCAAATTTTTCTTTTATTAGTACGTGGCCTCGTCGTTTAGCTCGTTCAACTGGTTATGATCCAGTTGAAATAGCATATGGTGTAACAAAAATAGCTGCTCAATGTTTACATGCTTTATCATCAACTGAACATCAAGAAACCATACATCGAGATTTAATGTACAAATATGCGAAAGGTCCAGCCGTGCAATTAATGAAATATGAACAAGCCTTGAATGATATTATACAGCCAACATCAGATGAAAATCAATGATATTAAATATGTTTTTTTTTAATCATCATAGTTCAATTAATGAGTCTTTCAAAAACTGAAACCAAACTACATAATTACTTTTTCTGTTCTTTATTTTTTTTTCATGAACAAAAGATGAATATGGGTGGGAAAAGTTTGGTTTTTTTTGTCTATGAGTGTTCTAAAGAGATTATACATTATAATATTCAATAGTGAGCAACTTTATTTTGTGAAAAATCATCAATGTTAATTTTAATTGATATGAATTGCTCGATTCACATTTTCTGTATATGAAAAAACCATTGTACATCATTTGTGTAATTTGGATGATTTTCTAAATTTCATTTTTTCTGATAATAGATGAATAATTATTTGAAAAAGTTCAATTTAATCTAAGTGGTCTGATTTAAAGGATTCGCCTAAATGTACTTTAGTCTTATTGTTAAATGTCATTGGGAGATGGTACGTGATAAAATGAAAATGACAATAAAATAATCAGATGACAAACAAGGGAGTGCTATTGACTTAAATGTATGCGGCAACTTGCTGCAGCTGTTGAATCTGAAATTTAAGTTCCTCAGACTTAACTGTCACATTTCTTCCGATTAGTCGAAAACGTCTAGTTTTCAAAAAAGCCTATTCAGATATTCTTTTTGTATATTTAAGAATTTTTCGAAGTTGCTCTTTTGAGAATCTCTGTAGGTGTGACAAGATGTTGTTTCTAGATGAAAGTTATTCCAAATTTGAAACAAATTTGCGGTATTCAACACGATATAGGAAGTGTATGCTTCTATTTTTATGCATGAAATACTTAAAACAACCCACAACAAAAACGCTTTATACCTAAAGTAATAAATTTTTAATCATCAAAATATCTATTACTAATAACTAACCCTTCTCACAAAATAAGTCAGCTCTGTATGCTGCGTAACATTGTATTTGACATTTTTTAAAAGCAATGACAATAATACTTGCTATATTCGTTTATTCTTTAACAATTGTAGTCATCCTTTTGGCAACAACAATAGTTGCTATATTGGAATATTTGAAAAGTTTTGAGGCTATGCTTAAATATTCAGAAAATTCTTGCGGGAAAAAATTCTTTACTGTTTGTTAGTTTTATTCTAGTCGAGAGATTTACATTAACCGTTTTATTTTATCATTTCTACGCAATATTACAACGTACAAGCTATAAAAATGTTTTTGTATCCTTCTTTTGCTATCGTCTATGTTGTTTCAGTATTAAGTTGTCAGATGAAGTATATGATTTCAAGTATTTTTCATCTACTATTTTACTCTCTCGATGAATGACTATGAAAAGATAAAAGAATTCGTTTCTATTTAGTAAATACTGTAATCCCTCTCGTACATTTTTCTGTCTTTAGCTTTCTTAATGTTATTTTTCTTTTCGCAAGGATTTCTTTTCTTAATTCAATACAATAGATCTTCATTTAAGAGAGTATCATTTTTTGAATACATTCCGTCATTATGCCATAAATTAACTGAATTACAAACTCAATATGAACATTGAAGAATACCTATTATGAAATAATATGCTGTTTAGTTCAATAATAGACGCTGCCTAATTCAAGATAACGGATTCAAGTGTTTTTGTTATTGAAAGCAGCATTTTATTTTCTTATTCAATAGAATTTGTTATTGCCCCTTTCAACTTATATTCGTTTCTTATTTATTTATCAAATATAAAAAACTTGAAATTACATGACCAAACATATCTTGATATACATAAAACCATGATTAAAATCGTGTATGAGTTATTGATACAGTGTCACCATCATCACCATCATCTTCTTCATCATCAGTTGTCGTATGATGAGCAATTGTATGACTTAGAGTATGCGATGGATTAAATCGATTAGTGAGGATAGATTTAGAATCAATACTCGTTTGATAAATATTTTCTAAAATATTTAAAAAATAATATTTATGTTTTCTTCTTCACAATACACGTACCAAGCGATCGAGTTTGTGTTCTTGATGTCGGTTTTCTTGTTAAATTTACTGAACTCGTTGATGTTGCTAATGGTTGATAAGAATATCGGCGTATAGATGGTAAATGTTCAGCAGTTTGAGCCCAAGCACCTGAATTAGATATGAACATAGAAAAGTATATGGAGAAAAACAAATTCTACATACGAATATCAACAATATGTTGTTGTAATGCTCGTATCCAAATATTTAACGTAAATAAATCTTGAACAGAAAAATCTTCTTGATTAAAACCACGATTAAAAATTGAAAACGATAAATAATCATTGCGCGATAGAATTATAGTATCCTAATGAAAGTAAAAATGAAATGCATAAAATGAATCTCTAAAATTCTATTGTTTTTCTCTAACTGTTGTGATCGGTATAGAAAAAGTACGTGGATTTGAATTGCTATTACGCACAATTTCTTCGCCATGCAAGAATCCTCCATTCAATATACAAGAATATCGAATACGATTAATTTCAACAATACCAGTAAATTTTGCCGATGGTGTATAGCATAAAGGTTGAATAAGAAAACGTGAAATAAATGAATCTTCGATAGGTAATTGCATTATTGCTTTTTCTTGTGGACGTTCCATTACTAATGTACGAACTTTTGCCATTCGATTAACAGATTCTTTATTATAAGTTGCTCGAGCAATTAAAACAAATTTTGATTGCGGTTGATTAGATGCTTTTTGCTGATAAAAATAAAAAAAATATGATTTCGATAAAAATAAAAATAAACATCAATGCTCTTTTCTTCTTACATGACTTGTTTCATTTTGTTGAGCTTTTCGTTTTACTTTTGGTGATCCATGAGTTGAAAAATAACTATATCTTTCAGCGAAATCTTTTGCGTCTGTTGATACAGCCAGACTTTTATTTAATGCATAAATTTCGAGATCTAGTTGAAAATCATGAGGAACATTTTCACTAAAACAAACAAAGAAAAGTATTGATCATCTCACATCGTAGAATTCATAATCAATTAAATTATTTACAATGTCAATTTATCGGTAAATAGTATGTCAGTTGATTGTTTATCAATGAATTTCATTTGTGTATCAATTATTTCACAGCCAATACGTGCCAAACAGAAAACAGCAAATTTCTTTTGGGCTAAACAAATAGAAATCCTATAAGAATTAGTTCAATTTTAATCTCAAAATCTCACCTGATTTTGCTTTTTTCATCTTAGTCCATACTAATGGGAAACGTATATCTGATAAAATCACAGTTGCTTTTATTGGCTGTAGACTGAAAAAGAAAAAAGAAAGACAACAGTAGGAAGTATAGAAATTTAATTATAAATATTCTAATGAAACAAATAAAATACTTTGTATCATCACGTTTTAGTAAGTTCTGCTGTTTTCGTCGTATTTCAGCCATAAAAGCTAACATTCGTTGTTGCGATAGAACAAGTGCTTTATTGCATTCAATTGTTTGTTCAACTGTCGTTGCTACATGAAGTAATTTACTGATTCCATCAATCATTTTCACTTCACAATCAATTTTACGCTCTAATTCAGGATCCTTATTATAGACAAGATGAAAACAGAATTACATATAAAGATATTATAATTCTACATACCCAAATAAAAAACGATACCACTCGTTTTTCTCTATCCATATTACTCATGATTGTATTCTTCTTTTTAAAATAAAATAAAGACAAATGTGAATGCGTTTTACTTTCTCTTTCGTCGCTCTATTTATGTATGAATGGCACGAAAAGAAAGTAAATATGTACTATATGATGACTAAGAATTTCATCGCATACCTGTCGTAGGTGGAGAACATTGATTGATTATTCATAATACGAAAGTTTATGACTACTTCAAGGTTTCTTATAATCTTATTTTATTTTATTTTTCACAATGAAAAAAAGCACACTGTTCATCCGTCAATGGACATGAATTAGGATGAAATGCATAAAAAAAGCATGGCTTCGTTTTGACACTTAGTTTCGATGATTCTTTCTTTTTTAGTGTTATTGAATTTAATTGTGGATCAGCTATTGTGATTAATTTTGTTTCTGGATCAAACTTAATTGCATGACGGTAAGAAAGAATAATTGACTTTAAACCTCCATTTTCAGATTTTAATTGTTCACCAAGTTCATTCGGTAGAAGATCGTATGCTGCCGATAAAGTTAATGACTTATTTTCAGTTAAAAGATGTTCGAAGAGAAAATGAATAATAGAAAATTTTGTTGAATAAAATTCGGGTTTAGATTTTATCAATGATGAGCGATGGTTCGATTGTTGAGGATCAGCATGTTCATGAGTAATATCAATACCAAAATGATTGAATAAACGTGTATGAATTGAACTAAACTGGCAAAACAAAAATCACCTTTTTTTTATTAAATTTTATTTTACGATTTACTTTATATCAATTTTTTTCTCATGCAACATAAAACAAATATTTTTAGTCGATGGTATACGTAATTTATCTCTTTTTATATCGAAATTAAGTATTGTCGCGATTTCTTCGATATAATGTAAATATTGTTCATACTGTGTTGTATCACTATGATTATTTGTGATAAACTTTTTCCCACTGAAATCAAAGAAACAACAAGGCAATAGAAAAACATCACAAGAACATTGCGATGCTAAAACTGGTAGCCATGGAGTCAATTCATCAGAATGATTACCAATAAGAACAGTATATTGGTTGGATATGACTAAATTATGTAATGTTGGCGAACGAGGATCAATTAATGATTCCTGATAAAGTGATGAACCAAATAGCGACCATGAACGACGACGACGCATATCAATACCGAGTCCCGGATAACCTTCCGATGAAAGTAAAAACGTTAAGAGACCATTGCCACAACCTAAATCAATATATTTAATAGGTTTATGGAATGATGACGCATATTGGCGCCAGTAAGTTAATAAATAACTTGCAATCCCTAAAGAACAAATCCAAAAATAATGTTTAGAAGAGAGATTAATGAATTATTCTGTTAAAATGTTCGCTATTAATTAATCGTCATCGATAATGTATCATAGTATAATGAGAATTTATTATGTTACAATGAAGTTACGTTCACCTCTCGTAGTGTACAAGTCCATTATTGATTACGAATGGAATAAAAAGAAATTGTATTCTTTGCATAGTAATTCTCTACAAATTTCTATTCCGTATTTGAAATTGAAGCTGCATTTTCACTTCAATGGCTTATGTGTTATTTTGTATATGTATTTGTTTTTCCCAAATCTTATGAACTTTACTATCGACAAAAGACTAAGTTGTTCGATGCAATTATTGAAGGTTCTCTGTAAAAATGTGACACATCAGTAACGATGGTTTGTCTCTGATCGAGCATTTAGTAACGTATTAGTTGCCGAGAAGATTTCTAAGGGTCGAATCTGTTAATAATTATTTAGCACCTTATTATGTAAACAAACCGAATAGAAATAGAAAAGAATTTTTCTTTTTTTTTTGACAATGGTCAAAACTAGGAAAATGCCAATATTTTCAAGTAATGCACTCATAAATTAGTTGATAACATCGATTATCAATAGTACAAAAGTTCATACAATCTTTTTTCATACCTAAATCTTCAAAAACATGTTTTTGAGGATCAGTACTTTCACGCCAATTTTCGGTGAGATATTTTCCATATTTTACTTTCAATCGTTCATATTCACGTTGATATTCTTCAATTGATATTAATTTTAATGTAGTATTTTCTGTGCTATTTTCAATATTCGATTGGCACCATTTAATAAATTTTGGCAAAAGACTATCTTTCAACCAAAGCATTTCTTTATCGACTTTATCATCGAATACAGTGAATCGAATTTTATTTTCATGGACGATTAATTCAAAACGATATGCCGATACTTGAACACAACATGACTTCGTACCCATTGAATACAATACTATCGGTCGAAATTCAACTGATATGTCATTCGATAGAATATATTCATCTTGATCATGATAAATTCTTGGATTTTTTGCTATTAATGTTCGTTTATCAACAACATTTGTTCCTGTTGAATATTTTTTATCGTCACGATTTAGTGCTGAAGCAAAACGGACAGTTGTTACACGTTTATTCACGACATGCGGTTTATATAAATAAATCGATATTGCTGATAAAAAATGTGCTTTATCAACATTTATATTTGATACGTTGAACTCCATAAAAAAAATCTATTAACATATACATGTATATATTTAAATTTCTTTTTCATGGTAAAGTAGAAGAGACAAAGAGAATGGATTTTTTTTATTTACACAAACATTATAAGTACTTAGTACTATCGAATAGATAGTAAGAACGGCGCTATATCTTATTTGTTTCTTATTCACAATAGCGACCATTTGAAAAAGAATCAGACAAAATGCAACTCGAGATTGGTTCTGATCAGAAAATAACAACACAAAAAAGAAGAAAGAAAGATTATTTTTTTACATAATTAGATCTGGCAAAAAATCATATCTAAAGACGGAAGAATTGCGCACGTCGTTTATCTCAATGTTGTTGTTGCTGTAACATTTCAACAAAAGCAGCATTCAAATCAAACGAAGTTGGTGATGATGGAACCATCGTTGGTGGATAATTATTAGAATGTGTTGGTGAATTTAGTCGTTGTGTAGCTTGTAAAATTTGATGAGAATCAAATAATATTTGACTTTTTGGTGGTCGTCCCGGACCACGTTTTTTTGCTGCCATCATTGGCATATCTAATCCAATACCCCCGATGTCAACAGGTATTTTTGAAGCACTACTCATTGATTGAGCCGGTAGACTATGCCGAGTTTGACCGCCACTGTTTTTAACCAATGAAGCTGGAGCTCCACTAAAACAAATAATTGCAAGACATAAAATATGATCTATAAAATTTGAAATAATCAATAGCATAGTTTTACAATTTTTTGACGTTAGCTTTATTCTATCATTGATAATCTGAGAAGGATATCTCTAGATGTATAAGGCATTATGAACAACCTCGAAGAATGATACAATCATTATTTCATCTACTAAAATTCTTAAGAAAATATTAAAAATTTCCTCGACTAAACAACCCGTCTTAGTAGAAGAAATCAAAACAATGCAAATATTCAGGATCTTTTTTGCCGAGAAAGATATAGCTAATAGCCAAGTACGCATATCGGTAAATCTTCAAGTAATAGAGACATGCACTGCTGTATGATGATAGATTTCTCGAGTAACATTCAGAATTCTATTCAGTCATGTTTTCTTTTCTATCACTACGGGGAGCATTCCAGGAAATATCTCAGTAGGTCAACTTTAGTGAAACTACAGAAATGAATTTTTCTCATATTTTAGATAGCTCACAATTGTAAAAAAAAATTGGAATTTCTCCGTACATATCTAGATTTTCAGCAGATCTATCGTATAGAAGTGGTCTATTTTCCTACATAAAATAAACTTACTTTCTCGATACAGGTGGTGGTGGTGGTGGTATTGATAGCCCTGCTTGTTGCCCAAGCATAGACGCGAGAGCAGATTGAAATGTTGCTGCTGATGAGGTTCCAGTATTTGCACCCATTCCATTTTCGATAGCTGCAAAAAGTTGATCATAAGGTGATGTTAATGAATCGAGATCAAGCGAAGAAAGACCAGCCAGTCCTCGATCAGTAACATATTTAGGCGGTCGTCCACGTCGTCTTGGAGCAAAATTTCCCCGTTCAAAAATCGAAGGACTCGTCGAATTATGAGATGTATGTGGAGCTACGTTTGCATTTGCAGACATTCCTGGTGATTGAACTTCTGGTTTCGATGGGCGATTTGATCGTTTAGGTATTGCAGCAGATTGTGTTAAACCAAGTAATTGTTGTTTAAGTAATGATGAATTCACTGCTGCGAGACTATCTGCTTCATTTGATGACGATGACATCATTAATTGTTGTGTCATTTCCCATAATAGTTGTTGTTGCATGGATAAAGATGCTGTCGATTGTGATGAAATTTCAGATGTTTTTTGTCGTTTAATTGTTGATGGAGACGAAAATGATGATGATGAAGGAGAAAGTTTATGTTTAGCTAATTGTTGTTGAGCATTCGATGGCATTGCTTTAGTTAAATCATTTAATATCTTTGTACGATCAGAGAATTTCAAAGCTGATGCCGATAGTTTTGATTTATTGCTAGACAACAACAAAAAAAATGCAGCATTAAATTAACACAAGTCAAAGAATATTTTTCACTGCGAAATAACCCTCAACATTATGATTCATGAGTATCTAAAAACAAATCGCATATTTAGTAGCGCTTCATCAATTTATAGTAGTTTCAATTTAAATATCGAGAGATGTTTAGCTGAAGTGTCAAAAATCGACGGTAACTTATTTGAGATTACGATGGAACATATTCGAACTACATACTCTATTCTCTGGCCTTAGTGCTAAAACTAGAAGAATTGCAACAGAACGAAAAATATTCGTTCATTATTTTATTTTACCTAAGACCGTTTGTATTATGTTTTCCATTAGTCATTTTTGGAATGGTATTCATTGGTTTTTTAGGATGTGAATGTCCGTTCGTTTTAATCATTGGTCTTCTCCTTTGTTCTTTTATATCTTTAACAATAATTGTTACTATATCAGCTAAAATATCATCGACAACTTCTAAAATATCTTCACTTTCTTCCAACTGATTGTTATTATTATTATCAACAAAATGTTTTGACGATAAATTTAATTGTAAATAATTTTGTTCAATTTGATTTTGATGATAGACACCTTCAATGTCATTTTCATCTTCTTGATCCGACGTTAATATTGGTTGTTCGTGATGATGAACACTTGCTGTTGATGTTTTTGGTAATGTTAACGGTAAAAGTCGTTGAGTTGGTAGTTTAATTATTTCAGGCGATAATTGCAAACGACGTGGAACACCTTTTCGTCGACCGCCACGTTCATTTTGTATTGTTTTATGCTGCTGTGGTGGTAATTGAATTTCATTTAAAGGTTGCTCATTTTCTTCTTCATCGAATATTTCACTATCGTTATCATTTGAATAATGTTTCCCGTTGGAGATTGAAAATAAGGATAGATCATCCATCAGCATCAACAAAAAAAATCTAGTTATCAAATAAAAAGAAACACGAAATTTCAATGTTTGTTCTTGTCGACCGATTGCTGTACGTATGTGAAAAGATAGAAAAAAAGATTTTTTTTTGTTGCTTTTTTGTCCGTCCGACCTGACGCGTCAGTCAATCACATCACATATATTATTTATTTTCTTTTCTTCTTCTTTTCTTTCTATTTCGAAACAATGAACTCAAATTCCATCTATCAAAAACAGAGATTTAGTGACATCTACCTTGAAAAACATATGAAAAAGCTTTTTTAATTTAGAATAAAAATTAATGTTCATTGAAAAACTTGTCTTTTTTACATATATTAAGAGTGTTTATTCTCAAAATTTTCGATTAATCATTACCATAGTTACAACAGTTTGAAATGGCACAGATACATTTGAATATTTGAGAAGTTTGTGTTTTTCTATAGTTATGGATCAAACAGCACGCCCATTGAATATTTCGCCGGAATTTCTGCTCTATGCAGAAAAATATGCTTTATTTGAATTATTTCAGGTAAAATAACAACATCGCTATTAGCGTAGATATTATTAATTAAGCATTCTATAAAGTAGTAATAATGAAACACTTGGTTTCAAGTCACAGAGAGTTTAATAGAAATTCAAAGAAAATGATTTTAAAATTCATCTTGCACGCAAGAAATCATCCTAACTAGCTAGTAATAAATTGAAGTCAAAGTTCAAGATGTATTTAGGTTTTACTTCGTATGAGAAATATAACAGTACCATCATCTGTAATTTTCACATGGATTTAGTTGGAAATTATTTCAAATAGAATAAATTTTTGAGGCAAAAGAAACGTAACAAATTGTCAATGTTCGGCTGTTCTTTAACGATCATCATCATCGATTAATAATGATAATGGAGCTAATATTTATTGTTTATCAATCTAGCCGAATGATAAATCTTTTTTTCTGTTTCTCTTCATATTTATTATTATGGTTTTGAATGTAGATGGATGTGTGATGTAGTAAATCTTTTTTGTGATGTACCATGATTGTTTTTAATTGCAACAGTATGTTCGAACTGAGCGTTGGATCGTGTGAAAAAAATCATATGATAGAATATATGGTTATTTTCTCACAATGATCATTATTATTAATTATAATGAATCCGAACGAACGAGAGTAGATGTTAATGAAATTTTTAATGCGAACAAGTAGTTAACTACGAATATCGTGATCTAATACAGAATTTATCTTAAAATGCTCTTATCAGACATAGTTCTTTTCAAAACGAAGTTTGCAAGAGAAACGATTAGAATTATTTTTTATTGTACAAAACAACAATCATTACTTTGACTTGTAATGTCTTTAGTTTATCAATACATTTTTTGCCTCATTTTAGCGATGTGTTTCATCGTTGCTCATTGATCGACCTAGTGATCCAATAACATATTTAATTGAACTTCTTAAAAAAGATTCTGATGGTTTGTAGAATATTTTTCTTTGTTTTCATTTTCTACTTAATTATATATATTTTTTTAAAATAGCACCAAAAATTATTATTCTTGGTCCGCCAGCATCTGGTCGTCATACAACAGCTAAATTGTTACAGAAGAAATTAAATACAATTTTAATTGAGCCAGATGATCTTTTACGTGATGTACCAACGAAATTAAGAGATAAATTACCAGCTAATCCAACTGTTGTATGTATTCGAATAAAGTTCTTCGTTTTTTTGTTTTTGAAAGAAATATTCTACTTGATTAATTAGAATAATATTTCATCATCATTATGGGCTCAATTATATGAAGAACGTTTAAAAGAATTCGATTGTATTCGTCGTGGCTGGATTTTAGTTGATTTTCCTATGAATCGTGACCAAACATTAGCATTACAAGCGAGAGGCATCTGTCCACGACATGTAGGTTAGTTGAAAGACGTTCGTTTCTTTTCTTTATGATAATTAATATTTATAAAGAATGTTCTACGAATAATTTAACTTATTGATGTATGCTTTAGCGTAATTTTTCGTTGTAGTATGCTTGGAAGCACCTGATAATGTGATGATTGAACGTGCTGCTGGTAAAAGAATTGATCCAAAAACAAAAGGTTCGCCTTATTGTTGTTTTTATTCTTTATATTACTTTATTAATTTTTAAAGATATTTATCATATAACATGGAATATTCCTAGTTCACGTGATGTTCAAGAACGTTTAATACAATTAGAAGAGAATTCTGAAAAAATGATGGTCTTACGCTTAAAAGAACATCGAAGGTAAAGAATCATTTGAATTGATGACTACAATTAATAATTAACACATGCTAAAGAAAAATAATTAGTTCTAAATGTAGAAATAAATAAAAGAACGGATGTTCTTAATGGACCATTATCCTTGAAAAGGATTTATAGTCCATTAGACATTTTTCATTTAATGTATATTATATTGCATAGTAGAATGAGGCTATTGTAGTTTCAACTAATCTGTGTTGATGCAGCATTTTTTTCTTGCAAAATAAGTATTTGATTCTAGAAATATTGATGGTATAAAAGATTGCTTTAAATCAGTTTTACGTTCAATTAATGCTGATCAACCATTAAATGACGTTCATACACAAGTGTATTCATATACAAGTAAAAAAGCACGTTCTGTTGCACCGCGTACTCCACGTATTGTTATTATTGGGCCAACTGGTAGTGGACGAAAGACAGTAGCAACGCAAATTTCACGAAAATATGATATACCAATTGGTAAGAACAATTTACGATTCTTTTTTTTTCTCTTACTTATCAAAATTCTAAACGATCAAAGAAAGAAACGAGATTTTCTTGCTTTAATTTAATTTAAGATGATTTTGATTTTTCTTGATTATTATATACTTCTAGTATCGATTCCAACATTGATCAAACAGCAAATCGTCAATAAAACACCTGCTGGTGTTAGTATGAAACAGTATGTTGCTCGTCAAGCATTAGGTAATGATTCGAATTTATATTTGAATTAGAAATATAAAAAAACGATGTTTTTCTTGAATTTGTAGTTCCGGATAGTTTAGTAATGCAACTTATTCGCGATCGTTTAAATCAAAGAGATTGTATAACTAAAGGTTGGATAATGATTGGTTTTCCTCGTACACGTGAACAAGCAGAAAGTTTAGCTAGAACACCTGGCTTAGCACCGAGTCGGTAAGATAAAGTCATATTAAGAATATATTTTTTTTACAAAGAATGCTATCGTTTCAAGAGCTTTCTTTTTGGATATTCCTCTTGATATTGCTGTGGAACGTTTAACTCAACGATTATTAGATCCAATAACAGGCGATCGATACCATACGCATGAACACCCAGCATCCACACATAATATAAAGGAACGTTTAGTTCAACATCCAGCCGATGATAAAGAAACTGTACAAAAACGTTATCAAGCATATACGATTTATTATGATGAATTACAAGATTTTTATGCTGAACAAGATGCTATTCATGTTGCAGCTGATCAAGATGCTTATACGGTATTTGAAGCTATCGAAGCAGGAATCGTTAATCCATTAAATAAAGATGGATGCTAGGTTTTGTTTTGAAACAATAAGAACTGGAATATTTATTAATTATAAAAAAAATAAATGATGTTAATCTGATGAATAAAAAACTTCATTTTATTTGTAAAAAACAAATTCATTATGTAATCAGAAAGCTATGCAAGGTTTAGAAACTTCTTCTATTTAAGCTGAAAATGTTCATCAAACTTGAAATGATAGATTTCAATAAAATACAATTTGTATCATTTCGAAAACTCGTTTTCGTCATTTTAATCTTTTTGTGTAAAATGATATTAAACATTTATGATCATTATCAGTATGATTAATTACAGACTAATTTATTTCACCCTGTGAGTACAATTATTCAACTATGATATTCAAGAAGTCTGACCTCCATTGTAATTATTTAATATTATATTCAATATAAATTATGCAGTAAATAAATCTGGGCTTCGTTTTCTAGAGGATTCGCCACATATAAGCATTTTAATTTAATTACTTTGTTATTAAATGCTATCTACTCTAGGCTAGTGGCTCAGCATGATTATGGCTCACAGAGACTGATTTTAGTCGCTTAAGATCTCTTAACGTAAACTATTGATTCTGAGAATGAAAGCGACGCTAATGCATCGAATCAAACAAAAGAAAACTCTGTGGTAACTTGAAAGATGTTGTCGAAGAGAAATCTAATATAATACAGTTATCAACAAACATCCTCCTGTCTATCTCTTAAAGCAAAATGAGAAGAATTCTACATCTAAAGTTTGACTTTAATATTTTTATTGCTTAAAATATGCATTTAAAAAAAACATTTATTTACGTTTTGATCACCTCGGGATAAATTTATCATGCAAGAAACATAAAAACTTGTCATTTCTTAGCAAAATGTCGTTTTCAAAAAACAAAAACAACTCATAACTTAGTCGACCAACATTATTCTCATTTAAAATTTGTACCAAATAAATAAAAATCATTAGTGTAGTGTGTATTATTTGAGACATGTATTGAAAATAAGAATCTACTATTGATACTTACATAAGGATGTGCACAAAATTTCGAGGATGATTAGTAGTAGTATATAGCTTGTGTTAGTTATCGGTCGTAATTATATAAAAATAGAATGATGAAAATTTAGTAGAAAATGTCTACAAATTCTATAAGACTCGAATTTTATCTAATTGTATGCTTGAAATTTATCAATAGGTGAAGGAAACATTAGTCAACAATATAGATTTATTCATAAATAAAACAAAGGATACTGTTCGCAGCAAGAAACCATAAAACTTCGGTTCTGATAATTACATGAACCTTTAGTGAGGCGTCATGTAGCGTTATATAATTACTTCTAGTCTGTGATGTAGCAATCATCTAACCTTACTCATTTAAGTGTAAAGACTGTCCTATCTATTCCATTACCTTATTTTTTTTGTTCCTTTTCTACTTCTCTACTCTCGTTTCCTTCTTCTCATCTTGTTGAC